TACCGCCCCCCCCCCCGCCCGGTACGCCCATGCAGTTTTGCCATGACAGGCGCACATGAAGGTTATATTCCCATGTTTCCTTCACGATTTGTTTCCTGGTTGATCTTAGCCTGATAACAAGTACGTTCTTAACCCCACTGTGCAAGAAACACAAGTAAATACCTTACACGAAAACGAGGCCATTGGATCAAACGTCAATATATAGAGGATATTACACGGCGGCGCAAAGATACGACTTTTATCGTCGAGTTGTGAAAACAGTATTTTACGAACAAGCGCAGCAAGTGAGTAAAATATTGTCGTTTTAACACGAGAAGATAAAAGTCATATCTTCAAGCCACCATGTAATGTTCTGTTTATTATATAGTCCCAAGCAAAAAATTGTGAAATTTCATGCTCCAAAGTAAATTGGAAAAAGTCACGTGATCGATATCTTCACTAGTGAAGATATGGAAAATATGTCACTGTGTATTTTTCAATATCTCACTCTCTACTAGCTATATAATAAAAAACGGTAAGATGTATTCGCTTGCTGCTTCAAGTGTCAACATTTCTGAACGTCTTTGATGACCATCTGTTGTCCAATGAAATCCACCCATAGCGTGGTGACGAGGTACATTGTCTCCCACTAGACCATTGCAGCCCAAGAAGAAGGCTGACGCTTTCTTTGTTCAGCAGTTCATGAGATTTCTTGTAGCCTTGTTGAATACTCCAACCTTGTTAAGCGATGGTGTTCCTAGTGAAAAGAGAAGTATCAACTGCAACACTTATAGTCACTTTATGTTTTCTTCAATTTAATCATCTTCTTTCTTATGGAACTACCTATCATCATTAGGATATCAATGTAAGTAGATAGGTAGGTATATAGATATAGGTATGCATGTATGTATGTAGGTAGGTAAGTATAGGTAAGTAGGTGTAGGTAGGTATAGGTAGGTATATGTAGGTAGATATAGGTATAGGTAGGTATATGTAGGTATACGTAGGTATAGGTATAAGTAGGTATAGGTATATAAGTATAAATATAGGTAGGTATTTGGTATGGGTAGGTATAGGTGCCGGGTAGTTATGAGTAGTTAGGTAGTTAGGCATGCAAATAGATATAGATAGATGCAGTAGATAGCCTGGTAGGTAGGTCTAGGTAAGGTCTCACCAAATATTATTCATGAATGCATTTAAGATTATTAAATACAAGCGGCATTTTCATCAAGACGAATCACAAGCTATAGGTACAACATACCTAGTAAAACCACCGTCGTCTTCGGCTTATGTTTGAAAAGTATTTTATATGTAACACTGTCGCTCATGCTGATATATCGGAACATGGAACGAAACTACTTAAACTGATTCAAAACTACAACATGATTCGGAAATCCACGACAGCAGTCGTTACGGACGTTACAACACCATCTTAAATGCCGTCACTAGTTAAAATCTCAACATTTTGTTCACCATTCTCCCTGCCAGGGAATCGATTGCGTATGTCTGCAAACGGGAAAATATTTCATTTAAGAATATTGAAGAATAGGAACGTTTCCATCAAGAAATCACAAGTTGTATACAGCATTCGCCTCCGTGTTGTATTGCTGAGTCAAATTGCAGGGAACCCAAGGGCGAAAATCCATTTCAAAAAGTGGGAGGAAGAAGCCAGCCCACGGACATAATTTATTATAGATTATATCACGAATGTCTAAAAAGCGACGGGGCGCATCTCTCCGTCCCCCAAGGATTGACGCTCTTGAGGGAACCGCAACAGCAATTACCAATTACAGCCATCCCAAAATTGAGTTTCAATAGTTTTTACAAATTTTAACCTATTTTATACCCGAGTGTTGTGCAGTAAAAAAAACCCAATCAATTTCTTCATATTTTGACAGATTAAATTAATGCAAATGAAATATGAAACGGGTAAAATATCAAAATACTTGAAAACCACTCGACCCATCGCACCTTGGCGAAGATCCATCCACTACTATTTAATACTATTTTATGCGTTTCCAGTCGTATCCTGCTTTTCTTAAGGTAAGAAAAAGGTTTCTGATATATATCTCAATGTGTATGTATGTATATAGTTAGTTTGTATTAACCATAGGTATTAACCCATTGAGCCCCAGCGTTCTTTCTTTGACGAGTACAATATGTCTGGTTGCTCAGCCTGCTCTGGCAAACACCTGGGGCCGGTTGTATAAAAACGTAGTTAGCGCTAACTGTAGTTAGCGCTAATCACTGCAGTTAAATCCTTAACTGTAATTAGTTAACTACATGACTTAACTGCGTTGCACAAAACGTAGTTAGTCGGATAGTTAACTAATCACGTAGTTAACTGTGCGTGGGGCTTGCGTGGGGCGTTTAAACACAAAATTACATAAAGTAAGCAGCGAATAACGACCGCTGACACACATTTTCAACATGATTGTGGACTCGTATTTTGCAAATAGGCGGGAATTTTATTCAAAACACTAGAAAACAGTGAAAAATATACAAGAAAACAAGGAAAAACCGCCACAAAAATCATAAAAGAATGCAGTTTTTCCTTGAGATGCCTACGTTAAACCAAGGTATAGCTGTTTGGCAATCATATATCAGTGTTTCTTGGTGTAATGGACCATACTTCGTCTTCGAGAAATCGTCCTGTGCAAAAATATGTTCTGTTTTCGTAAAAACACCAAAGCGATAGCGTTTGAAGAGTTTATATTGTCAGGAAACATTCACAGGGAAGATAGCGATTGAAAATCTCAGGTAAGCGTTGCTTTTCATTGTTGTTTTACTGAAAAATGTTGTTCACTCCTATACAAACGCCATTTTTAACTACGTTTTGGACAGTTAACTATACCCTAGAGCATAGTTAACTTTAACTACTTTTTAACTGCAGTTAAGGCTAACTACACTTTTATACAACCGGCTTAACTACGTGATTAAAGTTAACTATTTTTTAAGGCTTTTTAACTACTTTTTAACTGCAGTTAGCGCTAATTACGTTTTTATACAACCGCGGCCCCAGACTATTTACAGTGACACTAACAGTCAAAGCGGGAGCACTGATTTCGGAAGAGAAAGTCATATTCGTTTCAGGTAAAACGAAAGTCAGCAATTTCCTCTGTGCTGAACAATTCGTATTTCATGTGATAAGACTTAAAAGTTCAATGTTTGGTTAGTTTGTACATAGAAATATACGGCTGATATTTTGAGTGCAGTAGAGCAAACAAACTATTTCACGGCCGGGATCAAACGTCGCTCTTCTCATGCGCCAAACCTAAACCTTAGTTCCATGTATTTTACATAGTTTTGTTAATTAAACGATGATGTCCTTTTGGGAGCGATATATTGAGTTCGACGTTTGAACGTCGCTCTAGTGTCGAATCGAATTGTATTAGGTTAGCCGCAAGAAAAGATCAATAAAAGTCACTATTATAATCTTTAAATTCAAGTATATAGAGTCGATTATTTAAGAGCGTTGCCCAAAATCTTTGAACAAATTCAATTCATTCACTCAGTGTCCTTATACAGTTATACATATACCGTACATCATTGTACTAACATTGTAAGTAAAGCTGTTTCATACATCGGGGCTCCCTGACATGTTGCGAAACATGGACTGGACTGGACTTGCAAAACATGGACTCAGTCAGCGATTTGTAAAACATGGACTCACTCAGGCGGCGATTTCAAGTATGACATGAACTGAGTTAATTTTGTAAAATATGGAATGAGTCCGTAATTTGTAAAACATGGACTGAGTTCATGACCATGATTTGTAGGTTTTACGGAAAACGTGCATATAAACATTTAATTTGAGCAATATTTTCGAGCTTGTAGGATATTACTAAAACAGAGTTTTAGCGGGACTAAAGACGCAGCTTCACACCATAGTTGTTTTAGTTTGTGATTTTTTGTTAACCATTGCCGGAGCTGATCGGAGCTCCATACACCGATCGAGCTTAACATTATTGCTTTAATTGATATACGGTAATGGTACAGTAATATTTATAGTACAGTATTGAAAATCGTTCGGCTGTTATTATTGCTCTTTGTTGTTTTAGTGGGGATCTGTAATGCATTAATACATAAATAAGAACCATTCACGGGTGTAGAGGGCTCAGGGAATCACCCGATTATCAAGATTGAAATAAAAATATAACAAATTTTGCTAATTTAAATTAATAAGATTTTGCATCATTGACATTGTACAATTGATGATTCCCCTTATTACGTTTTCGTAGTGCTTTGCATTGTGGTTAGTGGTATCACTGATAAAAATAGCGGTTATCGTTCCATGTTTCGCGCACCAATATAAGTTAGGGTTAGCGGTTAGGTATTAGGGGTTAGGTTAGGGGTTAGGGACAGGGTTAGGGTGTGTATATACGTGTATGGAGGTATTCAGTTAACTTTTCAGTACACTATAATATCCGTTACATAACGTTTACTATATTGGTGCGCGAAACATGGAACGATTACCAAAATAGCAGCCTCGAATGAAAATATTGAATGTTTTCACAAATATTTTGCTGTTCGCTTAAAAGTTCTTGTACGGGCCAGGACAAAAAATAAGCCATCTTGAATATCAGTGATACCACTATAACCACAATGCAAAGCGCTACGAAAACGTAATAAGACGAATCATCAATTAAAACACAGCTATTCCAATTTATTTTAATTTTAAAGTCACACCAATAACGGTACGGCCTGTATTCATTCTAATGGGCGGCGGGGGCAATGCCAGTTCGTATATATAACTAATGTTATTCTGAAAAAAGTGTGCAGGAGCACTCTACACAATCTATTTAAACTGTATATTTCGAATCATTAATTTCGAAATTATTTTTAACATTTAATGTACTATAGTAGTTCCCATTTTTCATTTTATCAGACGTGGTGGTCCAGTGTAGGTAGTATTCTACAATAAGCTGTTGTGATTTGTGTCTGAACTACCTGAAAAATATATCTCAAACGTGGTGGTCTAGTGTAGGTAGTAGTATTCTACAATAAACTGTCGTGGTTTGTGTCTAAACTACCTGAAAAAGATATCTCAAACGTGGTAGTCCAGTGCAGATAGTATTCTACAATAAGCTGCCGTGGTTTGTGTCTGAACTACAAACTTATAAACAAAGTATGTGAAATTTGAGTAAAAAGAATTGCTTTGAACTTGGGCCACACAAAAGATCGGTAAAATCCGAGTTTAGTAGATTCTGGGCAACATAGGAGACTTTGCTCGGAGGGATTTCACAGGGGAACATAAATCACTATGACAACTTACTTCTAAGCTGCTGTTCAAGATCTTGCAACGTGACATTATTAGCCAGGGTAATATTGGTGTATGTGTACATCCAACACGAGGGTACCTGGGACACTGTGTGTACAATATGGGTATCATTACTTTGTACCGTATGAACCTCATTCTTCTCTAACGTCACATTATGTCCCCCTTGTTCGACGACAACTGTCCCTTCGAGTACAGTGATGGACGCATTCAAATCTTCCTTTACAAAATTCTCAAGATTCAGGCCAGGAAAATCTGCCACAAAAACGACTTCAGTAAAGTTGTTTTTCGACACCTCCTTCTCAATTTCGTTCAGTTTTGTTCGCCAAGGGGAAAGATCAATCATTAATGGTAAGACCCATTCGGTTTTTTGAAACGGAGATCAGGGGGCTTTCACAAGGTCCACTTTAGGATCGAACATGCGTTGTTGGAAGCGGCCATTCATAAAGCGCCAAATATCGAAGTTTATCGCGGGATTGCTGATGTTTAGTTCCGCACGATCACGCAGTTTCCGCGCGAGACATGTCGCGTATTGTTTTATCATATCGGGATGCGAAGACCACCTCGCTCTTTTTCTTGATCGCCCTGCAATCCACACCTGAATAAGACGCTTTAGATCAGAACAACTGTTACCGCGATGTGTTAAGCCTAGCTGTTACATATAAGGTTGAGTGTATAGGGTCAGTTTCGTAGGTTAAATGACCACATTGCATGGGGGGGGGGGGAGGAGCATGCTCAAATGTGACTGAGATGGCTAAATCATACTGCTGCATATTGTACACCCGTAATAGCATGTCAACAAGATGTGTTCGCACTGCTTGTTCCCAGTTGTTGACAAGTCAGGAACAAGTTGTTATCATCTTGTAACAAGGTTGATGAGGCCAACAAACTCGCAACAAATTTTTCCAACAAGTCTGATATCGTCTGCCCGTAACAAGTTGTTAACAAGTTGATGACAACAAGCTCGTAGCAATGTGTTACGAACAGCTTGTATTAGTGTTGTTGGAACAACTTGTAGCAAGTCTGTTACAGTCATCAACACAGGGTAATATTGTTATGTATCCATACTCCTGGAATGAGAAAGTGTGATGCGTTCGTTGCCATGTCAACCACCTCAACACGAATATGTTGTGTGCTCCACGAATGTACCATCATATCCCATGAATACCCGTAAAGTCCATTCGTCCACGCATTGTACCCCTACAAATATGAAGAGAGAATTGATGCTATATGGACACGTGTGTTTCACAAAGAACTATCGTGCAGCAGATGGTGGTCAACCTGCAGTTATCAGAGTGAGAAAATAATGTCAATGAAATGTAATGAAAATAATTCTTTTCATGCAAAGGATGCAAGGGTGGGTAGTAGCCAAGTAGTTGTAGTTCGCTACTGTAGCGAACTACAATTTTCAAGTAGCCAGTAGTTTTTGACTACTTTTTTAAAACAGTAGTTGTAGTTATAGCGAACTACATTTTGCCTAAAAGTAGCCAAGTAGTTGACTACTTTTCAAACAGCAAATCCGGCGCTATTCGCTACTTTTTAAAATTGTTAGCAACTTGATAGAATAGCATGATATTGAGACACGGTTTGCTTAAAATCAATACTCATACAATAGTCAATTTACACTCCTGAAAACTGTAGTGTTTACAAAAATGTTGCTTTGTGTTTACTGTTGCTACTCGTAAATCGATTTGTTATAGATGGCCATAGATTACATTACAGCCTGAGTTAGCAGATGCTCCAAATACAGTAAAACTAAAAAATATAGTGTAGCGAAATAGCGAAATAGTTCGCTACATTTTTTAAGCAGTAGCTGTAGTCAGTAGCGAACTACCTTTTGTTCAAAAGTAGCAGTAGTTGTAGCTGACTACATATTCTTGAAGTAGCTGTAGTTATAACGAACTACAAAAATTTTGTAGTCAACCCACCCTTGAAAGGATGTTAATAAAACATACCTGTGTTATGAAATGTGACCAAGGCAAAAACAACTGCACCGCGACGTACACACTGGCTAAACCAATCAGAAACGTTTTCCTAATGTATACATAGCGCTCTTCGCATTCGTCAGCCCGTTGCTCGGTAACCGTATTGTCGTTCTCAGATCTCTCAGTGAATCGCACGTCCACTCTGGGATCATCTCGAAGCGGGAGAAAGTACACGAAACACGCGGGCATCGCGCGAGACAAACGTCTCGGCCAATCGGAACGCAAGAAGAAGGGCATTGTGGCAAGCATCGTCCACGGGAACATCCCGATGTGAAACATTTGAGAATTCATAAGATGAAACATACTGCCAAAAAGCAGGCCTGCCGGGCGAGTCTTATCAAATAACAACAGAAATCCTTCGGACAGGTCGAAAATTAGTCCGCTAATGTGAACCATGTATAAATCGATGAATTCGTTGGACACAAGTAGACGAAAAGGATCGAAGACCCATTTTTTGGATAAACCTGTCATGGAGTATCCAGACATCCAGTCCATGTCTAATTTCTTTACTCCGGCGTAGAAGTACACCAAAAAAAATCTAAAAGAGTATTTGAACTTTAATTTTACCGAATGCAAATAGCATTTTTCACGGCCGATTTTCCCGCCATTTTGGGGGTACTGCCTCTCCCACGTTTGAGAGTCTCCGCAGCACGAAATGCGACCTTTTAGTATTGTAGTTGTTTGTATAATGGTAAATTTATAAGTTCTTTGTATGATTGCATGGTGATAAAATATATAACACTTTTTGTTTGTGGAAACACCACGTAAATTTATTAATGCAAAGCTTTCGATCCGTAAGCCCGGATCTTCATCAGTGCTAATAATATAATAATAATATTGTTAGCACTGATGAAGATCCGGGCTTACGGATCGAAAGCTTTGCATTAATAAATTTACGTGGTGTTTCCACAAACAAAAAGTGTTATATGGTAAATTTATAGTTACAACTTTTAAAAGTCGCTTTTCGCGTTGTTTGAATTGTCTAGAATCTTTTACGAGGGCAGACAGTATCCCCAAAATGGCCGGATTTTGGTCTTCGTGAGAAAGGCTAATAGTTATAATTCCGGGATATTTGCATGTTACCAACAACTCAAATAAGATGAGACAGACGATAGACATTCAAAAGGAATGTCTATGGTCTCTATGTTCCTTTGAATGTCTATGGACAGACAAAAAATCTCGAATAAAAAATTATCTACATTATTCATTACCTGAAATTTTATAATCCAGTAATTCCATCTAGGTACGCACGTGTTTCTGATTGATTCGTTAAAATATCCGTCTAGTGACCTGGGAGAATGATTCACTCAGCCAAAAGTGAATTTAGGATGGTTAGAGTAAAATCTCCCTGGTGCTCTAAACATTTCAAGAGACGAGTAATAAAAGTAGTGTGAATTGTTGTAACGAAAACGCACAATGAAAAGACAATGATGAAGCATTTCGATGACTGGATCGTACGTGAATCGCAAATTTCTTAAAATCATCATTGATGGTTTTTTCTGTGTTTTCTATCTATCTATTTTCAAGAGATTAACATTAATGAAGGTTACAAGTTGTTGTTTATCATAATTTTTATCACCACTATCAGTTTATATTCCTCAATAGTACTTTTTGTATTCTTTATATCAGTAATCTCGAGACCACAGTAGTTGGTCTACGCTGTTGCGGTTACCCAGTCATCGGCTAACTAATTAATCACGCTTTTTCATTATTATTTTGTAATATTAACTTTGTTGATAGCGAAGCTAATAATAAATAAATAAAACTTGTTCAAAGGGCTACACACAATCACCTACCAATATCTATTAGCATCAGTCATCAACAGCATTATAGATATGAGACCATAAAGATACGAATGATTATTCCACACAGTTTTATCAAGAAAGAATATATACCAATATGTGATGATAAACATAACACAACTTGATCGGTAGCAACAACCTATAGCACGAAAATACATTTATTGTTACTCCTGTACTTCAAGAATTCTTATCCGAGAACTCTATTTTCCTTCCTCAAAAATTACCCTTCCACCTTAGCCAGCAGGCAAGTCATCCCGTATGCTTTCGGCTCGGTCACATTTCAGGTTCCTCGTTCGAAATTCGTCAAGGAAAGATGATAATAATGGACCATTTGCGTTATAGACTAAATTTTCATCTAGACCAAAATTTCATCACAGCTTGAAAGAGCATCACAAAATTAGTAATATTCCAAACTTTCGTTGCGAAATGTTGTAAAATGCGGATAATATAGCGTTGCGAAGTTTGCCGTTTTTCAGTCATTTTGTATTACGCATGGGAAATTGACAGCCCAATCGGGTGTTGGGGCATCAATTTCCCGTTTGTAATACAAAATGACTGAAAATTGCAAATTTCGCAAGACTATATTATCCGCATTTTACAACATTTCGCAACGAAACTTTGGAATATTACTAATTTTGTGATGCTCTTTCAAGCTGTGATGAAATTTTTGTCAGATCAAAATTTAGTTTATAATGCAAATGGTCCATTCATGAGTAATTTAGCCAAGCATATTGCTTTATTTTGCTTACATGATAATACTGGATACTTGATGAAGTGATACTTGATATTGATCCAGTCTTAGGACTAGGATAAGATACCTGATGTTGATCCAGTCTTAGGACTAGGTCTTAATTCAATCCTTGCACTAGCTGGATCAAAATTAATTCACTTCACGTGCACTTTAAGTAGTGATTTATCCGTATGAGATGTCATTTCAAATCCTCCAATTCGGACTGGACTAGATTTCAAGTCCTCGCATTTTGATCCAGTCCTCGGCTTTGCCTCGGACAGAATCAAATCGTGCGGACTTGAAATCTAGTCTAGTTCTCATAGTCGGATTTGAAATATTACCTAGCAGACCTTACGACCGTACCATTATATTTAAATGGAAAAATTCTTTTTTGGTATGTTTTTATTATCTAATGTTTTATAACCAACCCAAAGCAATTCCAAACGCCGCCATAAACATGAGGAGGTAGACCACGTACATCCAATCAACAGGCAATGGTTGTAACCAATTAAATAGCGGAAAGATGCACAATGTGGAGTCTTCCCAACGATTTCCAATTGACGACATTCCTCTTTCTTGGGGAATATCTATCATCATTAGGATACCTAGAGTTAAGAGGAAAAATAAGCTTGGTAGGTGGGTGAAAAGCAGGTGGATAGGTAGGTGGGTTTGGTTCGGTGGTTAAGTGGCTGGGTAGGTAGAGGTAGATAGATAGGTAATTGGGTAGGTAGGTAGATAGGTGGGTGTTTGGATTGACAGGTAGGTACGCAGATAGGTAGGTGAGTGGGTAGATGGGTAAGTGGCTAGATATAGAGGGAGGTAGGTAGTATAGGTTTGGTAGGTGGATGGATGGAAAGTACAGTAGGTGGATAGGTAGGTGGGTGGTGGGTATAAGTGCCTATAGGTAGGTACGTATACATATAAGTAGGTAGGTAGGTATGTAGGTAAGTACATAAGGTAGTGCACTAGGTTGCTGGCTTGCTTGAAGATAGTTTAGTATATTAGGCATACAAGAAGCTACTGATAATTACCAAAGAAAACTCGAAATATTCCGAGATTTGCAGGATCTTGTGGCTGAGTGAGAAAAGCAACAAGTCCAGCATTTCTACCATCACGTTTTCTTTCAGAACTCGACATCGGAATGTCCTCAACATTTTGTTCACCCTTTTCCTTGCCAGCGAATCGATTGCGTACGACTGCAAACGGGAAGGTATTCAATCAGTTTTATTAAAGAATATTGAAGAATTTCATCAAGTTATATAATACGTACAAAAGTTATATACAGTATTTGCGTCTGTCTTTTTTAAAACTACTACAAACACTCGCCTTCGCCACAATTGTTTATTGGTGTTTGAGAACTGGAGGAACAAAAATATTTGAGATACAGTACAAAGACTCGATAAGACAAAATTCAACTTGTATATAATTATTTTTTGAGAATAATGAATGGTGAATTGATATCGTGCGAGGGGTCTTGCATTTTTTGTATTTCTTCTTAATAAAATATCTCAACAACCAACAATGGAGACAAAATCTTCTTTTAAGCAGTCAATAATTGATTCCCCCCCTTCGTTGTACAAGCTCTTTTCCAACTGAAGTGATGGCAGAACATAAAGAAAATGGAATTGCTCGAAAAGATAGCAAAAAATAATAATGCATATAATCGATAGAACACGTATGTCGCGAGTTATACGGTAAATCATTTTTGCCGCATCGTAATCATATTTAATGATCTTGACATGTTACGATCGAACATTTACAGATTGAAAATGCTAGCTGAATACTAACATATAATAGTCTAATACCGTAGCTGCATAACTGTCACAACGGCTAATGTGGACATCGCAATGAAAAGGAAGCCATCCTAACTCATCAAAGAGAGAAACATGCAGAATCTGTTCTGTGATGGACCATAAATTGCTATAGTTGCAGACTCAAGTCTCAGCTCAGTCTTTCATGCATTTTCTCCAATAAAAAGAACTGCATGCAATCAATAATATTGAATTTAAATGACATGACTTAAATTTGAAAAGGTCTTTGTCCATGGAGTTATGACATTGCTGCGACACCTACTGTGCGGTTAAAATGCATGTTGCCATTTTTGGACATATTAATGCAAACGAAGAATGAAAACCGATTTGTTTTGCTAGAACGCCAGCGCTTCGCATCAGCAACGGTAAAGAAAAATCCATCCACGACCATTTAACAGTAAACATTATACGTTATACATTGCTCTTATTATTTCAGGTAAGCATGCAAACGTTTCTGAAATGTATATTTCAATTTATATGCATGACATAGTTAACTTCTAGTAAACTTTTAGTATACCACAACATAAACATACCTCAAACGATTTAACTCAGTACGAATCTCACCCAGCTAAGAGGAGAATAAGATCATCTTATACTTTCCTCTGACCCTCTGTGCTTAACTATTCATATTTCATGGGCTAAAACGTAGTCGTCTTGCTACGAACATATAGTAAGTCATTTCGCACTTTCGCTACGATTACGAATTACATATATTATACGGTCGTTTTTCTACAACACAGAGGTTTCTGATATAATTTTTTAAAGTATGCCTGTTATTGTACGCAAGAATTTGACTCGGAATTAATAGTAAACCATGCATTTGAATTATGAACCGTCGCGTCTATTAAAACATGCATGTATTTACAGTCTGTGCAGACTGTGGACCACTTCTTTGCCAGCACTAACTTCAGTTTTGCGAGAAAATAATCGATCCTACAATTTATTTTTGAGTATAGGTTATAGCCCGCTATAGAGTACAGACTATATAGGGCTATATATATATATATTCTGAAATGGCACAGATATTTCGATCTCTGTAATATAGCGAAACGATTCAGTTATCATGTTTATGTATCGATTATGTAAGGAAACTTAACTTAAAATGAAGTCGATCAAGCCAAAATTTGTGTAAAAATTCAGAGGACAATGCCAATGGGAAGAAAATTTCCAGCCGATCATATTCGATAATTAAAGCCTGTTATAAAACGTCGAATTTCGCCTGTGCATGCAGTCGATTGTTGATTTATGTACACTGGCAAAACTGAGACAATTAAATTATACGTTTCTACATGCGATCGATCGTAACTTTAAATTCCGGACCAGTTTGGTCGCATAATACGTCGCATTTTGCATGATGTGTCGAATGTAATTCGGTTTGGGCGTGATTCGAGAGACTTCGTGTAATGTTACTGAAATACCACATGAAAAGATATATCTTGTATAAATTGAGTGTAAACGAAATACGTTTTACGAAATACGAATCTTATAAGTAACTGCTACCTCAAATTCATTAAAATTTGTAAATCTAAATCGTTTGTCTTTCCCCCTTGCCTTGCTTGAAATATTGTTTCCGGTCAGCGCGAACGCGTCATTTTTTAACTCTGCGTGTTGAAGGTTTTTTTTGCAAATTATTATGATCTACAGGGTGTCTAAGAAAAAACGCTACGGAAATTCAACAGGCTGTTGTGCATCATAAACGCAGCTAAACAGTTCGATTTTTACATAGGAAGAAAGAGCTGTTATTTAGCTTTTCTATGAGACCTTTTTGAAATCGTAACGATGAGAAATGGCTATACACTTGTCAAATATTAAAACTGATTGCCGGTCGAAATCACATTCTTCCACCGTTGGGAATTGAAAATACATTAATTATGCAAAGTTAGTCAATCCAAAAGCAACGCGAGCCTCATGTTGCAAGCTACAGTATATATAATAATATAGTACAGTATCGTATCTTATTTTTACATTTAATCTATTTTTATAGCAGTTCTCATTTTATTATATTAAACCTGCAAAGTTGGTGACAATTTAATATTGAAATACCCACACCGGGCAAGCTTGAAAAATATGCCTGACCACGGTGGGAATCGAACCTACAACCTTTGGAATATCAGCCCAATGCTCTGCCAACTGAGCTACGCGGTCAGGTCGGTTCGAAACAGGTCGGTCGGTTAGAAATTGTCCTCCCTTAAATGAAAATGGGATTCCTGGAACTCATTACAAATTCCTAACCCGGCTTAGTTATTAATGCCTTAGTCTGCCTGTATAGTCTGCGCGCAGTCTCTGCGGCCAATGTTGCCCAGATTCATATGCTTTTTTGCTGATGCACCGAATATTACTCAAAATTCACTTATGTCTTTATTTGTTTTCAATTGTTTGTTTTCAAACGCGCACCCTGCCTGGTCGCTTCCAAATGAATAACAATGTATTTTGTATGTCGTTTGAATCACTGCCGTTGTTGCGTTCCGAATTTTGCATGTCCCGATTCAATAGCAAGTTGAGTAATTGCACAATTAATGCAAAATTACATCTCTGGAACAATTAAATTCGACAACTTTAATTACAGTCGACCGTAATATTAGTGAGTTTCAAATACCCTCGGAATGCCTCGGATCTGACTTGGGGCGGAGAAGTATTATTTTATTTAGTATAATTTTATGGATTTATTTTCGCAGATGGCAGAATTACCTTCTAAAGATGAAAAAGCAGTTCAGGACACACCGGCAAGCATTGTTCTGCAAGCTGCTTTAAAGGGTGGTAGCTATTCCTTCGTCGTTAGCGCTTTTAGTGCGGCAGTAGTAAAAGACGTATGCGGTGCTGCAGTTAGGATAACAAAGGAGTTAGGTGGTGCCAATGTAGTTGAAATGACAAAAGAAATATGCGGTACTGTATTTAAACTTGGTGCTCTTTACACCAGCTATAAACTGTTACAACCAGTCATTGAGGCAGCTGTTAAAAAAGGTTTCGGTGGTAAAAGAAAAGATCAAAAAGTCGAGGAAATCAAACCACGTTGTCTACATGTTGTACTTCGTTGTTTCACGGATGAAAGATTTCTGGAAGTTTGGGCGGATTATGAATCTGGAAGAATAAAAGAACGTTTGCAGAAAGAATTCTCGGAGGTTGGCATTGAAGTAGAAGGACTGAAGGTCGAGATTGAAAACATGGAAGAAGTAGAGCAAACGAAGGCGGATATACACAAGAGGTATAGAAATCAATATATAAATGGTGCATAATAAACAAATCGTCATTTTAAATATTAATTTTGAAAGGAAGAGAGCAGTAAAACTTTTAAGTTATATTCATTTGAAAGTTTAGCAATGCAATGTCAATGATGGTTTATGTTTTAACGTTTAAACTATATAAGGTTGGGGAATATCATTTTAAGTAATTGGGATATTTGAGATGCAGTAAAATCTATAAATATCACTCTTGTATATAAAAAGAGCGTGTGAATTAAACAAGTCACATATTATTAGCACTGATGAAGATCCGGGCTTACGGATCGAAAGCTTTGCAGTAATAAATTTACGTGGTGTTTCCACAAACAAAAACAATTAAAATCTATAAAATTGAATTATTTTATAAAGAAAACAAAAACAACCCAAAAAGTTTGAAAACGGCTAGTCAAATCTGTGTAACCAAAAACTCTAACTAACTTTACATGCATATAACAGTTCTGGTTTAAAGCGTGTACCAACTTTTTATTTTACATTTGTTTTTATATGTTTGTTTTCACTATAGTATCTATAAAAAATAGGTACGCTGAGCGTACATGCGCCCGCTATCAGTATGGTTCAGCAGATCTAGCTTGAGTAGGTTCAAGATAGGCTATAGATTCAAATACATTAATTTCTTGTTCTCCATTTTCCCCAGCTTAATCTAGTTTTATTCCAACGTACGGTATCGTTAATCGAGTTTTCATAATAATCATAACATAATTTTTTCATCGAAGTCAAAATACGAAATTTTGGCACACTCCTTGCTAAGATGAGCTGTTATTATTATTATTATTTAAATTTGTCACAATATTTACAAAGACACTGATAAACAATATATATAACATGCTACAAGACAACACACATGACTGGAATGTGGAACAGGACTTACGTTCCAATTACTACCTCACCCCATATGACTACACTGTATATACAAACTGACATAGGCACTTTCTTGGTGTGAGAACAAACGAAAGCTTAACACTAGTTAGACGTTGATCATGATATAAATTCTAACTGATTTACGGTTGTTCGTACACCGAGCTAGTGAGTGAACTTTACTGAACTAAATACTTAGTACTTATATTACAAACATTTTCTTCACAAAACTAAATATTTAATATTTAGCTAATGGCTACGATTATTAGGAAGTTTGTATGATTTCGACTTGATACTACATGTTATTTAAACGAGTTTTAAACGAACATAATCTACTGGATTTCTTAATTTCAGTTGGTAAGCTGTTCCAAAGTTTTGCTCATCTGATAAAGTAAGATTTTGAAAGTATTCCTGATTATGTTTTATAATGAGGTGGAAGTTATTTTCGTCATAGTTGCGATAACATAAATTAGCATTAATTAAATTAACGCGACAAGCTGCCTGAAAGCTACAATGTTTTGAAAATATATTTGGAAGTTTTCGTTGCCAAACAACTTGTGCAAGATTTATAAAGTTCTTTCATATTTTAGAGTATTTGAGATGATTATTTATAAATTTCATACAAATTGATATAGTGATTGTATTAAAATACGCCGACGTTCCAGTAAAGACGAGATAGCGTTTAGAATCAATTAATTTCAAATACCTTACTTTTTAAATTCGCGCACCTTGTTGAGACTTATTCTCTTATTCGCGCTGCTTTAAATTCGCGCAAGTAATTTTCCGTGTTCGTTCTTTTTGGTTTGTTTATTAATACAACTATTAACGCTAACGTTTATTAATAGAACTATTATTATAATGAGTATTTTTGAGTTTTGACTGACCTCAAGTCAAATTATATACAAATATTTTTGAATGACCGCAAAAGATGGCTTCAAAATTATGTAATGTAAGCAAAATTCATGATAGCTAACAATTAATAGAGCGCGAGTTCAAAATATCAACAAGAACTAATACAATAATGCAAGTCCAAGAATATAAACTCATTGCATTAGTAACAATGAGTGTCTCACAAAGCTTTTCGCGCGGATTATATTTCGCAGTGAAAATTCGCGCACCCAGCGTTGCGCGAATTCTAGTACTGCGCGAATTTTAATATAAGTAAGATACTTAAATATACATATATTGCACGTTTGTGGAAGAAATTCACCTTTAAATGTCGACGAAAACCAAAAAGCAAAGTTGGCAAACGAAATCAGCGAAACCAAAAATGTCATAAACTTCTTTCGCTTTTTGCAATAGGAAAGCACAGACGCTTTGGTTTGTTATGTGATCCATTCCTGTCATCATTCGTGACGTTTTGATCAAACATCTCCCGCCTGTCTCAAACATATTTCGAGTGCAATACGCTCCGCGGTCTAAAAGACCGCGGGTGCAAAAATAACTGAATTAAAAATTAAAAAACAAGCTTTCGGAATACGCGTCCATCTTGATCAGGGTAAAAAGACTAACACAAGTTTACTAATTTCTTTTGACATATATGGTTAATAATGCGAGCCAAGTGCGAGCTGACATGTTTCATGCAAACGTCGCAAAAACCATAATTAAAAAAAAGTGAAGCATTGTCATCGAAAGCAAGTACTCTCAGCGAGCTTGCCAGTTGACTGTTGCTATGAATAAAAAAAAAGCACATAATAGGAACCTTACAGAAATTCGACTTCTTCGTTTTGCCTATGATTTTGGTGTAACCATTGCAATGCTGTTGGCACGTTCCTAACCAGTCCGCCTATGAGAGGCACTCACCCCCCGTAAAAATATTCACAATGGCAGACGTTCAGGGGGTGAAAATGGCGAGTGTGATGATTACGAATCATTGCGAATCATAGCGTGTAAGTGTGGTACCGGTTATGCTTTTTTTGGCCTTTTGAGTCGACCATTTGCAAGGACCATTGCACCTATTCTGTGCCTATAGGCCTTGTATTGTCAAATTCAGTGCTTTTTCACATGAGAAGACTGGGACCCAAGCGATCATACCTACCAAATGCTAGCCCAAAATTGACCAAACCTGTTAAAACTAGCCGAGTAAATAAGGTCCTTGTTCTAGGCCTTGAAAAAAGGCATTAAGTCTGTTTATTTACGCAAAAACAATGTCTTTTTAGTACAATTTTTTACATGAATTTAATTGCACCCCTTTCTTAATTTTAGGGCCACTTTTGAAACGGCAGAATCATTTTCTAAAGATAAAAAACCAGCTCAGGACACAAGAACCGCTTTTAAAGGTGGTACCTTTTCCTTCAACGTTACAACCGATAATGTGCTAGTAGCAAATGCATTAAGCACTACTGCAGTTGAAGTAACAAAAGGGTTAGGCAGTATTGCATTTGAAGTCGCAACAGATTTAGCCGGCAAAACTGCAGTTGAAGTCACAAAACAAGTATGCGCCACCGCAGTCAAACTTGGTACTCTTTACACCGGCTATAAACTGTTAAGACCAGTCATTGAGAAAGCTATTGAAAACGCCCTTGGTGGTGAAAGAGATGACCAAGTTATTCGGGATATCAAACCAGGATCTCTACATGTTTTACTTTGTACTTTCACCACTGAAAGATTTCTTGAAGTTTTGGCATATTATGAATCTGGAAGAATAAAAGAACGTTTGCAGAAAGAATTCTCGGAGGTTGGCATTGAAGTAGAAGGAATGAAGGTCGAGATTGAAAACATGAAAGAAGTAGAAGAAACAAGAGCAGCTATAAACAAGAGGTATAGAAATCAATGTAGCGCTTAAACAAGATTAAAATTTACGAGTTTTAAATCTGACTATGAAGCAAGATCAATTATTACTCGCTGGGGCACTGTGCCCCAGACGAGTATAGGTTTCGGCACGCATTTTTGGTGGATGTCAGATGTCAGATTTCCGATGTCAGATTTCCGATCGTCGTTGATAGCCACAAAATAGAATATTAATGAGCTGCCTAATTTCCCCCCAATTATCCATAAGGCTCCTGCCAATTTTACCCAAATTATCCGTACATAGCCTTCCATTTTGAGGAAAATTCGGGAAAATTGAACAATTTTACAAGGAATTTCGCATGGAAGCCACAACCTTCGCAATTCGCAAATCGCAAGTTTATAAAAGTTTATACGGTTGACTGCGCTGCTTTATATTTTGAGAAGAAAGCGACACCGTTCGATTCAGCGTAAGAAATTGTACTTACGAATGTCAAGTGTATTACTAAACACCCGTATTCTAGCGATTTATGGCCTTTGAAAATGAAGCGAAATTGTATTGTTGAAAAATCGCTCGCCGTACGTATATTTGTTGATCACAAATCACTCGCACTACGTTTGCCCACAGGTTTGTCCTTATATTTGTAATGCATAATGGCGCAATAAGGATAAAAATACCACCGTTCGATTCAGCGTAAGAAATTGTACTAATTTTAATACGAATGTCAAATGTATTACTAAACAACAGTGTTCTAGCGATTTATGGCCTTTGTCTTTGAAAGCCAAGTGAAATTGTATTGTTACCAATCACTCAAAATTATTAAACTAATTATAAAAAAATGCAGTACGTTTGACCCTTGATAACTTTGGTATCATTGGTTTTCTCTTTTTCGGCCGTATACCAGTTGATTCGTCTCACTTCTCTCTTCATTTTGATAGTATTTTGAGCCCAAAAGCCCAAAATATTTTATTTTGAACGTTTTAAAGCGCAGTTTAATCCTAGACCAACTGGCGGCTGACAGTTTTGAAGAAGAATGTAGCGTACTAAATATAACTTTACTTATAGGGCCTACCGCATTTTAGTACTGTGTTATTAAGCCTTTCGCGCTCGTGTTCGACTTTTCCGCTTAGCTCGGGAAAGAGCTGTGTACTGTATGTATCATGTACATTGCTTTGTGTTGTAGGAGCTCTGAAGTGATATCAGAAGGTGAAGCCCAGAAATTGTTGTGTCATCCGACTGAAGTGACATCAGAAGTTGAAGCCCAGAAATTGTTGTGTCATCCAATTGAAATGTTGGCAGAAGATGAAGCAAAAAAGACGAAGGAAACCTATTTTCTCGTTACTCATGACGAGAGGAAATTATCGACAGGAAATGGCCAAGGTGTTCAACTAATTAGACTTTCGCTAATCAAGCACTAACTATCAACGAATTATTCGCGTAGGAAAAACATTCTACTGCACCGAAAAACATTTTCGTATTTTATCAGATATTCTTCTTCTGCTTTTTAGTCTAATACTGTAGTCATGCTTCTTAACCAAAATATTTTTTATCATTTTCAAAATAGATCATTCCAAGGAACATGGTAATTGGTTGACTGTTGGCGAACTAATGTATTCGATCCGGAAACCAGTTTCTAGTTACGTTGATGAAATCATTAAAGCATTCCACGAAAACTTGTCCAAAACTTTGCTCCACGCTGGCAAATGCAACAGCCCTGATGATTGCATTAAAAAGACCACGGACGACGGTCTATGTAACTCGTGTAAACACTGGTTTAAGGAGCTCGAGGCGTCGCATGAAAATGGCAACAATCCGTCATGGTACGAAAACTGCAACAGCGCCAAATGGTCTGAAGATCACTGGGAGGTGGCAAAATTCTTCATGCCTGCACTCATCCTTAGCCCTGTAGAAGATGCTGAATCTACCGACCTTTCTTCCCTACTTAATGTGCTTGAATTCATGAAGGATGACGCGTTTCTTGGAAAAACTCGAGTAAACGTGGAACTCGTGAGAAAACTTCGTTCCCGTGTGAAAAACGTTTGGGTACATGCACCAGAACAAGAATTCACTGATGACGAAAAAGAGAAAAGTTTCTTGACTGCCACCAAGTTTCTTGAAGATCTGGAGAGGGTGTGTCCCAATACAGAAAACACGCAGTGCTTGGAGGTTCTTAAACGCTTGAAGACCAGCCGATTCATTGTTCAGACAAATAACTAACGGTTCAAGAATGATATCTGACTTATTCACATCACAAAACACACATAGTAGATGTGCCTTTTATTGTGTAACATTATAGAATGATTATAACTTTACTTTCGATTTCAAGCAACATTTCTTAAAACATTTTAAACTTTTATATGTCAATAAAAATAGTTTTTAGCAATGTTTGCAAGCCAAAGGGAAAACCTTAGATTCGCTAGTTGTCTGCACATAATTTACCAACAGTTAATAGCATGTCAAGTGATTTTTTGGCAAGGTACGTCGGTCTGCGGCGGCGTGAGATCTTAAACTTTGGGGGGCGCAATTGAGGCGCAAACTAATCTTGGGGAGTGAGGTGGGGGGAGGGGCAATGTTATAAAAGCACATGTAAGAATTATTTTTAATAAAATTTTTGAAAAATGCAATGTCTTTGTAGATGTCTTTTCGACGTTTTCATGGTTATCCGAGTCTTAATTCCTGATGGGGGAGTACATTCCATTCCTTCGTCGTTCTGATGGAAAAGGAATGGCCACCCTTAGCAGTTTTGCAATAACGAGGGCAACGAAGGTTTAAATAAGCGAATCTAGTGTTTCTTTGATGGCGGTCACAGTTCCTTACGAGAATAATTTCCATGTACTCAGGTACTCTACTGGAAAGCCTTTTTAATACCGTAGCTGTATAACTGCCACAACGGCCAATGTGGAAATCGCAATGAAAAGGAAGCCATCCCAACTCATTAAAGAGGGAAACAGAATTTGTTCTTTGATCTGCGTAAAAATTGTACAAGCAGCCGTTTTCTGAAGTTTTAAGATGAAGATGTGTCTGCAAAATGAAAATGTGCCTGCAAAATAGTGAGCTTAGGCAAGTGACGTTCTTGACAACACGGACGTCGACCGGAAGTAAAGTTGACGTTTTTCACCAATCACAGCCCTTGACCCAGTCCTCTGACGTTACTCATGCCGTTCGTGTTGTCAAAAACGTCACTTGCTTAAGCTCACTAATGTCTGCATGAAAAAGCGAAATCAAGACGTGATGGATCATAAATTTCTACTGATAGTTGCAGACTCAGCTCAGTCTTTCACGATTTCATTCATTCTCTTCAATAAAATTAACTACAATCAATACCATTAAACGACTAAAGGTCATTGCATGACCATGCATGCACGCCTGACAGTTACGACTTTGCTTTTAACTTTCCAACAATGACTTTAGAAATTTCAAATGGCTGATGCCGAATAAGTCAGACTTTCATAAAGAATAATGGATCAAATTCTAATAGTTGTACTCTCAAAATATTTTACCTAGCTATATTTAACAAAGACTTTAATTAGAAGACCAATAGTAACAGATTAAGAATTGATAGTAAAATGCATAAAATAAGAATTATGAAGAGATTAAAAGCTACTGTATATCTTCTGTTTTTAAAAGTTTTAAAAAAAGGGCCTGCAAGAAACTTGTTTCGTTTCTGATGTGCCAACTTTGTCCGACTCCTGGTTAAGAGTTAATTAATTAAATCGGGTTAAGGTGAAACGAAAATGGCATTCCCGGAACTCATTACATATTCCCAACACCTACTGTGCAGTAAAAAAACATTTTGTTCATGTTTGTTCATGTTTGGGCAGATTAATGCGAATGAAATACGAAATGAGTAAAAATAACTAAATACTTGGAAAACCATTTCATTTCGTTGAGACGCCGACGCATCGTATTGCCAAAGAAAAATCCATCCACCGCCTTTTAACACTTTATTATACGTTTCCGGTCGTATCCTGTTTTTATTCAGGTAAGCAAAACGTTTCTGAATTCTGAAATATATATCTCAATGTGTATGTATGCATAGTTCGCTTCTTGTGACAACACACGCACGCACAACTCAGTAAAAGCGAGAGTCACCCTTCAGAAGAGAGTGGAAATGATGTGACAGCATTCGTTTCAATCAAAACGAAAACATACTTTCTTCTGTGTTTAAAAGTTAAAACTTCATATTTTATGTCTGTATTATTGGCTAAAAACTTGAAATATTTTGTGTTTTGTTTATTGTTATGTATAGCAGCGTACATACGTCTATTAAATGCAGTCGAGCGATGAAAATATGAACGTACGGGTTTACAAAATTCTCCATGTATAAAAGTCACTGATATAGTGAAATTCGAGCATAAAGAATATGACGATACAGCCAAATATAAAAGTGTTGTCTTAAATATGGACCATTCCCAATTAACCAAAATTTTGAACTCAAGAAGTCTAGACAAAAATTTCATCACAGCTTGAAAGAGCATTACAAAATTAGTAATATTCCAAAGTTTCGTTGCAAAATGTTGTAAAATGCGGATAATATAGCCTTGCGAAGTTTGCAATTTTCAGTCATTTTAATTACAAACGGGAAATGGTTACCACTTCTGTGCGTAATACAAAATGACTGAAAATTACAAACTTCGCATGGCTATATTATCCGCATTTTACAACATTTTGCAACAAAACTTTGGAATATCATTACTAATTTTGTGATGCTCTTTCATGCTATGATGGAATTTTGTCTAGACTTGTTGAGATCAAAATTTTGGTTAATTAGGGAATGGTCCATTCAGCGGCGATTTTATTATATGTCAGTACATGCATCATATTGTACATACGTAATATGTTGCAGTTCTGCAGTTCTCTAGCATACCGCGAAGTGCGGGAGGTGAAACGTAGGATCACACCTGAAGATTGTGGGCTAAGTAAACTAATTACAGTTTGAGCCTCAATGTATTATAAATATTAGCCCACAAAGTAGAGGACACTCGAGCATAAAAGTGATAGAACCCCTTAAGCGAAATAGACCTTATGCATAATGACGTCACAAGGCTTGATGCCCGAGAGGAATGCTGGTCTTAGTAGTCATCGCCCGGGAAAATTAAACAATTCAAAATGGCCACTATCAAAATTTTCCCGGGCGATGACTACTAAGACCAGCATTCCTCGCGGGCATCAAGCCTTGTGACGTACATTATGCATAAGGTCTATTCAAAAGTAACAAGGACCGTTATTTCCGGAAGACCGTTTACCATAGGTTAACAGTTTAACGGTAGATCTTCTCATTCTTTATAGGAATTCTTAACTAAGTGCAGTGATGGCGGAAAGTGAAGCAAGAACCGAACCTGATTTCGAAAGTTTCAAAGAAAACGTTAAAGACAAACGAGAACCAACGAGTTGCTTGCCAGATAAATTGCCAATGTTCACAGCTCGCGAAGCCGAGATCCAAAAAGTCATCACTTTCCTCAAGGATGAAGAAAAAGCCGTTGTGTTTCTCCATGGCGGACCTGGGTTTGGCAAGACTGCAATCGCCATCGAGGTGTCGCATCAACTTAGTGAAGACCACCAGATTCCAGTTGTTTTCTCTCAATTAACCACCGCAACCACTGTAGATGAAATGGTTCTACGACTTTGTCGCGATGTTGGTGTTTACCATGAAGATGACCCTAAGTCATCGTTGATTCTCTGGTTAAAGAATGTCAATCGCAAAGTGATTTTTGTTATGGACGACATCGACAACCTGCTTGAAGAAAAGACAAGTTTCTACAAGTTTATCCGCTTGCTGCGCAAGAATTCAAATCAACATTGTCATATTCTTACGACTTCCAGAACGTCCTGTGAAATTCCCGAACTTTTAACTGATGAAGTTCAAGTTGACGAGATGGATGATGAAGCATGTATGGAGCTTTTGAAAAAACAATGTCCTGATCAGGAAGATGAATTTCTGCGAAGATTGGCCAAACTTTGTGGCAAAATACCTCTTGCTATGTGCATCGCAGGCTCTCAAGTTGATGACTTTGAAAATTCTGATGAATTATTACAGCACCTGCAAGACCAACCAATGAAGACTTTAGAATGTCCTGAGAGTGATCAGTACGTTTATCGAGCGATCAACATGTCTTACGAAAAGTGTTCTAGTGAAGAGAAAGAAACGTTGTCCCGTTTGGCAGTTTTCGAAGGAATCTTCAGCGAGGATGCCGTCAGAGTCGTGATCGAGAAAGAAAATCTAGATACTAAACGTGTCTTGAAGAAACTTGTTCGCCGAAGCTTGATCAAACAACCAACCAAGCACCGATACTCTATTCATCTCTTGATCAAACATTTCTTAAAGTATCAACAAGAAAGCGAAAACGAAACAGCAGAACGAGTGCGTGCACAAATGATGCGTGCGGAAGTGTTGATGGTTAAATACTACTTGGAGTTGGGACACGACCTAACTATGAAAAGTTACGCAAAAGATGGATACAAAGCAAACAGAGAACCTCTAAAGCAGGAAGCGCACAACATCCAGAACGTGCTCAAAATTTGTTGTCAGCAGGAAGATCCAAAAACCTCCGACATCTCTGACTGCCTTGCACACAGTAAAGTTTACACCACCTCAGCCAGATTCTTTTCACTCTTCGTTAGAACCATCATCCCCGGGTCCATCGTCGACGAGTTCCTACAACTATGCGCAAACCTGGCCGAGGAAAGGAAGCAACATGCAATGAAAATAAATTTTGACTGTTTGTTAGCAGACCAAGAACGCAGCAGATCAATTGGTAAATCTGACGAGTGTTTTAGTTCAAAGATGGAAGAAATCAAGGGAGAGTTCGAAACACACGATAAAGATTTAAAGGAAGACAAGTCCCTTTGTGCTCATTATCATTATCAGTACGGTAGATACCTGTTGCGTAAATCTGAGCACCATAACGGTGAACAACGCTTCAAATCTCTTCATAAAGCACGCGAACAGCTGGAAAAATCGTTGAAATTAAGGAAAACGTTAGCTGACACGTCCGTGGGAAAAGCAGATATGGTTTTTTCGTTACAGCATCTTGGAAATACATGGAAGAAAATTGCCTCCAGTAGTGAAAAGCTTCTTCAACCCACAATGGATTGTGAATACGCAAAGAAAAAAACGCAAGAGTATTACGAAGAAGCTATGGAATTGTCCGACAAGCATCTAGGTGAGCACGAGCTTACATCATCATGCTACAAAAATTTTGGAGATCTATTCTTAACAATCGGGAAACATAATTTGGCCGAAGAGAAGTACACCACCGCCAAAAGAATGCGGGAAACTCTGGGCCTTAACGCGAGTGAAAGACACGTTTTTCTACTCAACAACCTGGGACAATGTTTCACAAAAAGCATGAGGGCAAATGAAGGTATCAAAATTTTGGAAAATGCTCGCGACATGGCCGAAAAACTTGCTGAAAGCGACGAGCCAAATGTTTGCAAGACAAAGGTCTATACATCATTGGCTATTGCATACGATTTGGAAGGAAAGCATTCCGATGCAGTAGACTACGCTCACAAAGCACTGAAGTTTGAAAAAGCCATCAACAGAAATTTTCTTAACAAACTTCAGATAATTGTATCAAAGAACGTTGGAAACAACTGATCGACATGAATTTTCTTGAAAGGTGTTGAACGTTTAAGCATTACGAATATTTCATACTACCATATTTGTAAAATGGAACACTAAATTAAGCAAATTTACTAACAGAAATAGATACAATGAAGACAACTTATTAATCTGACACAAACATACTCGTATCAACAATGCAGTATTATTACTAATAAACGGTTGAAATGTTGAATAGCATGTTTCCGCAAACTACGTTTATTGAAACAACAGCACGCGTAAAAATCTGACAGCTTGTCAACACGATTTCTTCGCACATGCTTGTTCCCAGTTGCTGACAATTCTCGAGAAAGTTGTTATCATCTTTTAACAAGGTTGACGAGACCAACAGACTCGCAACAAGTTATTCCAACAAGTCTTACACGATAACAAGCTCGTAACAACTTGTTACGAACAGTCTGTATTAGCCTTGTTGGAACAGCTTGTAGCAAGTCTGTTACCGTCATCAACGGATCAACCTTGTAACAAGGTGATAAAAACTTGTTCCAGACGTGTCGCAACAACTGGGAACAAGCAGTGGTCTATTCTTAAAAAACAATAATTTTGAATAGTTTATAAGTAGGCTAATGGTCACCTCACTCACTGTGACTGGGTTAAGTGTGACTAAGAGAATTGTTTCACAATTAGAATTGTAATTAGGAATAATAAATATGATCTTATTTTAATTAACAATTAATTAATGCCCCAGTTACACGATACCGGATTCGTATCGGAGCGACATCAATTTGTTTTCCAATCTTGTCTGCTCTTACAACTTTTCATATTTGAACTTTTGTTTAATTATGTTATATAATCATAATTTTAAGTGCCAAATTCACCTCGAAGCAGTAAAATTTGATGACGCTCCGATGGGGCCTAAGACGATTCTAACGTAATAATATGTAATCTCTAGGTGAAATATCACAGTTGATTTCACAAAAGTTGTGCCTTAAATTTTCTGAAGTTCACTTAGCAATTTTGAATTTTGCAACAAAGTTGCAGTTCAATGTTTTGTTGTTATGTACATAGGTGTCTGATATATTAAATGCAGTCGAGCGATGAAAATATCAACGGTTTATAAAATTCTCTACATATAAGTCACAAATAGTGATATTGGAGCATAAAGAATACGATACAGCCAAATATAAGAGTGTTGTCTTAATTCAGCGAACAATTTCATTATATGTCACTTGATGCATCATACTGCATACATATACGTAATATTATTGCAGTGTATACAGAGCGGAGGTCACACCTGCAGATTGCGGGCTAGATTTAAGATTTTATTGTCTAAAACAAGTTGAACATATCTATGCAAGTCAAGACACAGAATAAACATCAGTACCAGAAGGGCCATTCAGCCTGCAACGTGTAGCCATTTTTTATGCAAAAATATGCAGCTGACTGGCCAGAAGGCGGGGCCTCCAGCCAATACAGCGCGTTTATTGGCCAGAAAATGTAATCGACTAGCTAGGAAGATGGCGGCCAGCGCCTCAGAAATTTCAAAGCTTCCGACGTAAGTGGCCCTTCTGTGTGAATCTTTATTCTGTGGCCAAGGCAAGTCAACTTATTTGAGCATGCGTACATTGTACATGTTGAGTTGTTAGGAATATCGGAGTCCAAAACCCGCCATGTAAAGTGTAGTGAAATGTATCTCATCGTAATAAATCCTAAGACAACGAGTCCTCTGTGCTTGACAATTCGTATTTTATTTGATAAAACGTTCAGTGTTTGGTTAGTTTGTACATAGAAATATACGGCTGATATTATCAAAATAGTAGAGCAAACAGACGATTTTAAGAAATGGCTTTAGGCCAATGAAAATTGATATCATGTTTCTCATCCCCGCGCGCATGGGATTTATCTTCCGCACGAAAATTTTTCATTATTCATTATTTCTGAAAAATAGGCTTAACAAAACACCAAACTGATCTCCAGATCAAAGTCTTATTGCTGCATTCCGTAAGCGCAACTCAAATAGTATCTTTCTAAAGTCATTACTCGCAAGAATGCCTCTATTTTTCATGTCAGCCCTGGTATGTGTAGAAATATACTGTAGAGTAGGACGTATTAAATTTAAAATGAATTATACACCGATTTACTTCAGATTTTTTTGGGTCAAGGAAATTATTGACAAGCAGAATTCAAATACAAAAAATGACGAAAAATGAAAAATGAAAAACTCCCGTTCCAAATTTTTGAAAATTGTGGACGAGAAACATGATATCAATTTTCATTGGCCTAAACACTTTAATTAGGTTTTTATTATTTCATTTCATGTTCTTGCAAAGCCTGATTGTTGTATCTTGATCATTTGTTATACTACAATCTCGTTCCCAGAGTATGCCTGTTCGCGGGTTAGGTAGTGGCATGCCACTACCTAACCCGCGAACAGGCATACTCTGAGAACGAGATTGGTTATACTATAGAAGCATGAAAATATAAATATCTGTCGAATAAAGTTCAATATTTTGAATACCGAAATCTAAACAAAGGCTTTGTTTTCATACCGACTGTAGATTAGTAATACTAATCTACAGTCGGTATGAAAACAAAGCCTTTGTTTACATTTCGGTATTCAAAATATTGAACTTTATTCGACAGCTATTTATATTTTCATGCTTCTATAGTATAACAAATGATCAAGATACAACAACCAGGCTTTGCAAGAACATAAAATGAAATAATAAAAACCTAATTAAAGTGTTTATATCATGGCAGGAGACTCCTATGTGCGCATGCGCAGACCGGACTGTACTGCTGGCCTACATTTTTTGAACAAATTCAAACACATTCATTGTGTCGTTACATCGTACATCATATTATACATATACATAAATATATGGCAGTTGCCTATACAGGGTGTATAAAAAAAAACTGAACAGATCTTAAATTGCCTCAATTCCGAAAACAGCTCGTGAGTAGCCATAATGTAGAATAATGAGAAAAAAAACTCGAACTCAAATGGCTTGCGCACGAAATTTAAAAGCTTTAATAGCATATAAAAAACAAAAACTGGATACAAATAGCTGTTTTTCGGAATTGAGAGCAATTTCAAATCTGTTCAGTTCTTTTTATTTTACACACCCGGTATAGCAAAGTAAAGTTTTAGATCTGTTTCAAACGTCGGGACTCAATGGGGTTCATGTATCCATTCGATTGTTGAATTATATGCATGCACTTGCAAAATTGGATGGCTGAAACAACCAAAATCAACGTAATAGCCCGTTTGGTTCCGACTTCGCAGTTTTCATACATATCTGTAATTAAGTTTACTCGTAATTACTGTCTACGTTCTTTCGCAGTAAACCATATAGTGAAAATTACGAAACAAAATGATGTTAACTGTATCTGTAAATTGAACCACCTCATCTTAACAGTAAATTCGACCAGTTTGGTTGCATATTACGCTAGCGAAGTGTGAGCTATTATACGTACGACATGGTTCCAAACGTCACATAATGCATGTATCGAATTGAATTCTGTTTGGCAAAATCATGAAATCTGGAGTACTTTGGGTTATAAGCCCATGTTACCAGTTACGAAATATATTATAATAATTAGTACGTAGGCGTATAATAATTAATCAGTATATATGCAAGCATAAATTAACTATATTCAAATATAGTACCATATAAATGTGCTTCTATGTTTCCATGATTCTATATCTTCTATGGTTCTATGGTTCTATGATTCTATGTTTCTATGTTTCTATGTTTCTACGATCCTATGTTTCTATGTTTCTATGCTTCTATGTTTCTATGATTCTATATGTTTCTATGATTCTATGATTATATGAATCTATGCTTCAATGTTTCTATTATTAACCATAGTTAATAGAGGATTAACCTAACTCAAATCCATTTCATGTCTTTATTTGTTTCCAATTTTATTTAGAAGGTGTAGCTTGTCTAGTCGCTCCCTAGGCAACAACAATGCATTTTGTATGTCGTTTGAATCACTGCCGTAATTGCGTCGCCCCAACGTATTTTTTATCGTAATTTTAATTTCGTCTTTTCACGTCTTAATTTCAGCGAAAATTTTGCGATGGCGGAATCATTTTCTGAAGTTGGAAAAACAGCAGTAAAGGGTGCTCTGGATGTTAGTTTAGGGTATATGAAACTTCCTCAGGGTGGCGGTAAAATTTTAATACACATCAGTACTGACAATATACAAGTAGCTAAAGAATTATGTAAACTTGGTGGATATGTTGGCCTCGGTATTGGAGCGATCACACTTGGTACTCTGCTTGGCTATAGATTGTTAAGACCATTAATCAAGGACGCTGTTAATGAAGTCTTGGGTGGTAGAAGAGATGACCAAGACGATCCGAACATCAGACCAGGAGAATCTCTGCATGTTCTACTGCATTGTTTAACAGATGAGAGATTTCTTGAAGTTTTAAAAGATTATGAATCTGGAGGAATAAAAGAACGTTTGCAGAAAGAATTCTCGCACATTGGTATTGAAGTAGAAGGAATGAAGGTCGAGATTGAAAACATGGAAGAAGTAGAAAAAACAAGAACGGCTATAAGCAAGAGGTATATAAATCATTATTGGAATTTAAATGTGACTATGAAGTAAGATCAATTACCAATTTTCCTTTGCGTTTCAGGAGCTCTTCTTACCCAACTGAAGTAATGGGAGAAGATGAAGCAACTACTGCAAAGCACCAAGGTATTCACTGACTTTAAAATTCAAAAATTTTCGCTAATCTGGCACTATAGGGAGTAAAAGCTTCACGTTTCCGGGAACGGCAGGTTCCAACTTTCTTGGCAAAATTTTCGTTGAACGTTTTCGTTTCATATTTTCTTTCTTGTGCTAAAAGAATAATCATGCATTGCAGTTTTAAAACAGCAAGTTCAATTAGTAATACCCTTTATTGCCTGATACCGTAAAATTTTTCTTTGCCTGGCGTTTGCCGTTTGCCGTATAACGGAAAGCTTAAACTCTCTAATAATGAACGCATTATTCACAAAAAGCCTTCTACACCAAACCAAAAATTCTCGGACATTTATTTAACGCCAAATGAACACGCCAAAAATGCAGTCCTGTTCAAAGATTATAAATTTGTATTACAATGGTAATCAATCAGAAAAATCTATTATAATTATTACAAATTACTTCAAATAAATTTGTACTGTAAGATTGAACTGTGGATTGACGTTCAGATTTCAGGCAACCCCCCCCCCCAAAAAAAAAAAAACTCCGGCTGCTTCGCTATGTCCCATTTTTAACCAAAATGTTTGTCCTTAAGGTTTCTACATAGATGTTTCCGAGAAACATGGCAATTGGCTGACTGTAGGCGAACTAATTCGTTCGATCCGGAAACCAATTTCTACATACGTTGATAAAATTGTTAAAGCATTCCACGAAAAGCTGCGCAAAGATTTGCTCCCTGTTGGCAAGTGCAGAAGCCCTGAAGACTGCAAAAAGAAGACTAAGCCTAGCGATTTATGTAAATCATGTAAATGCTGGTTTAAGAAGCTCGAGGCTTCGCATGAAAAGGGTAACAATCCCTCATGGCATAAAAACTGCAAAAGTGCTGAATGGTCTGAAGATCACTGGGAGGTGGCGAAATTCTTCATGCCTGCACTTGGATCTAACCTTAGTTCTACAAAAGATGCTGAATCTACCGACCTTTCTTCACTTCTCAACGTGCTCGAATGGATGAAGGATGGGGCATTTCTAATTGGTAAAGATCGAGTCAGCGTGGATCTTCTAAGAAAACTTCGTTCTCAACGAAATCCCTGGGCACATGCACCAAAACAAAAATTCACTGATCACGAAAAGGCCGAAAGTTTCTCGATTGCCACCGAGTTTCTTGAAGATCTGGAGAAGGTATTTCCCCATGCAGAAAACGCACAGTGTTTGAAGCATCTCCAAGACTTGAAGAACAGTGGAGTCATCAATGTCGTTGAAAGTGAACTGCAAAGCTTGTTGTTACAACGCCACTTGTTGGACGACATTAAAGAAGAGATCACAACAATGAAAGTCGAGCGTTCATTCGACAAAAGCGCGATTGAAGAACATGAACAAAAGCTGATGAAATTAGAATGTGCATTGAGTGAATGTTGCCAAAGAATGACTGACTTCGAAACTTTCAAAGAGAACATTAATAAACAATTCGACAATTTCGCAGAAGAATGGAAATCCTTTCGTGTAATTCCGGAGGATATTCATGAAATACGCAACAGCATTGGGCAAATTCGTGATGATCTCGCCAAGATTAACGAACGGCAAAAAGACGAGCGAGAACCAACGAGTTGCTTACCAGATAAATTGCCAATGTTCACCGCTCGCGAAGCCGAGATCCAAAAAGTCATCACTCTCCTGAAGGACGAAGGAAAAGCTGTTGTATCTCTCCATGGCGGACCTGGGTTTGGCAAGACTGCCATCGCAATCGAAGTGTCGCATAAGCTAAGTGAAGACCACAACATTCCTGTTATTTTTTCTCAATTAACCACCGCAACCACTGTAGATGAAATGGTTCTACGACTTTGTCGCGATGTTGGTGTTTACCATGAAGATAAAGATGACCCTAAGTCATCGTTGATTCTCTGGTTAAAAAATGTCAAAAGCAAAGTAATTTTTGTTATGGACGACATCGACAACCTGCTTGAAGAGAAAACAAGTTTCTACAGGTTTATCCGCTTGCTGCGAAAGAATTCAAATCAGCATTGTCAGATCGTTACGACTTCCAGAACTTCCTGTGAAATTCGCGAACTCTTAACTGGTGAAGTTCAAGTTGACGAAATGGATGAAGAAGCATGTATAGAGCTTTTGAGAAAACAATGTCCTGATCAGGAAGATGAATTTTTGCGAAGATTGGATGAACTTTGTGGCAAAATACCTCTTGCTATGTGCATCGCAGGTTCCCGAGTTGACGACTTTGAAAATTCTGATGAATTATTACAGCACCTGGAAAACCAACCAATGAAGATTTTGGAATGTCCTGAGAGTGATCAGTACGTTTATCGAGCTATCAACATGTCTTATGAAAAGTGTTCTACTGAAGAGAAAGAAACGTTGTGTCGTTTGGCAGTTTTCGAAGGAAACTTCAGTGAGGAGGCCGCCAGAGTTGTGATCAAGAAAGAGAATCTAGATACTAAACGTGTGTTGAAAAAACTTGTTCGCCGAAGTTTGATCAAACAACCAACCAAGCACCGATACTCTATTCATCTCTTGATCAAACACTTCTTAAAGTATCAACAAGAAAGCGAAAACGAAACAGCAGAAAGAGCGCGTGCACAAATGATGCGTGCGGAAGTGTTGATGGTTAAATACTACTTGGATTTGGGACACGACCTAACTATGAAAAGTTACTCCAAAGATGGATACAAAGCAAACAGAGAAGCTTTAAAGCAGGAAGCGCACAACATCCAGAACGTGCTCAAAATTTGTTGTCAGCAGAAATATCCCAAATCCTCCGACATCTCTGACTGCCTTGCACACAGTAAAGTTTACACCAACTCAGCCAGATTCTTTTCACTCTTCGTTAGAACCATCATCCCTGGGTCCATCGTTGACGAGTTCCTACAACGATGCGCAAACCTGGCCGAAGAGAAGAAGCAACATGCTATCAAAATAAATTTTGATTGTTTGGTAGCAGACCAGGAACGCAACAAAGCAATTGGTAAATCTGATGAGTGTTTTAATTCAAAAATGGAAGAAATCAACAGAGAGTTCGATGCGCACTATGAAGATTTAAAGGAAGACAAGTCGCTTTGTGCTCATTACTATTACCAGTACGGTAGATATCTGTCACGTAAGTCTGAAAGTGAAAAGGATGAAAATCGGTTAGATCTGCAGGTTCAAGCACGTGATGAGCTGGAAAAATCGTTGAAATTAAGGAGAACGTTAACTGACACATCCGTGGGAATAGCAGATACGGTGTTCTCATTGTTGCGTCTTGGAAATGAATGCAAGTTGATTTCTACAAATGAATACTATCTTCATAAAACAGACGATTCTAAGAATTCATTGAAACAAGCTGAAGAATATTACGAAGAAGCTATAAAATTGTCCCAAAACCATCTTGGAGAGCACGAGCTTACAGCAGCATGTTACAAAACTCTTGGGGATCTATTCTTAAGAATTAAAAATCCTGAGATGGCCGAGAAAAGCTACACCATTGCTACAGAAATGCGGGAAAACCTGGGCCTTGACGCCAGTGAAAGACACGTTTATCTACTTAACAACCTGGGCAAAAGTTTGACGATGATTAACCGTCTAGATAAAGCTATTGAAGTTCTGCAAAACGCTCGCGACATGGCGGAAAAACTTGCTGACAGCGACGACCCAAATGAATGCAAGGCAAAGGTATATACATCATTGGCATTTGCACACGACAAGGCACAAAACTATTCCGATGCCGTTAACTACGCCAAAAAAGCAATGAAATTCCAGCAAATACGAAAACTCAATAGAAAATATGAGTATACGAAACTTCAGGAGATTTTACAAATAACTTTAGAAAAAACTGAACGTTTCACTTTTTGAATATTTCATACAATCCTATTTGTAAAATGGCACGCCCAAGTAGCCTTACAACTATTGACAAGATTTAGATAGTTCATTAATGTGACACAATTACTGAAATCTGAGTATACTGTACATGTGTATAATACAGAACAGGTTGAAAAGCTGAATAGCAAGTTTGTATAAACTATGTCGTTTATTGGTACAACTACCAGAGTGATATTGAAATGTGGAATTTATACATAAAACATTTAAAAGCAGAAAGTAGTACAGCACGAAATATCATGCAATTGTGTTATGCAACAGCTAGGGATCTTGATTTTAAGGATCTGTTCCTCTCACTTAATGCTTGGGTTAGCTTAATGATTATAATAATTATCTTTTGAGATTTGTTTTAGAACTAGAATTTAGAATTCAGGATTTTAATTGGGAATAATTAAGAATCATATTTCTAAGCATTAATTAAAGATTCTATAAGGTAAAAATACATGTGAAATAATATGAAATTGTTGTACAGTTGATTTCATCGGCAAAATCTTGACCACAAATTATCTAAAGTTCATTTGGAAACTTATAATTTTGCAACAAAACAGTGGCTGACCCTATAGAGATGGAAGGCGGGGGAGGGGGGGCAGTGCTCTCGATCAGTTAGCCAGAGTAAAAGAATGAAGATGGGTGCATTAGGGAGCATGCAACTTAATGGGTTAAATGATCATTTCTTCTCCGGCAAGAATGCTGGATTCTGTGGAATAACAGTGAATTAGAAGTAGGATCTCGCTAAATGTCCAGCCCAGCTCTTAACCAAGGTCATATACTGTAATAAACAGGACCCCTATAGAAACAAATATTGTCTTTGATTATCGAATCCCAATGATATATAATCTTAGCACGTTGATCAACATGTAATTTCAGGACAATGACTGTGTACATGAACTTGCTTATACACTTCTCAGTGTATTCACGCCCTCCAGAAAACGCTTGAAGGATGTAACAATTCACAAATATAAACCACACAGTTATTTATTTCGCTGCAGGCAGACTTAATAGAAATACAAGCGTCATATAATATTGTTCATTAATCATACCTGGCTTGCTCATTTTCGGATCTAGCAGCCAATCATGAACTGAACTGGAGAGGGGGTTAATAATTGAATTTCTAACATAAATCCTAAAAGGAGTGTCTTAGTGCTGAGGGTGTGGGTGATGGTGTGGGTGATGGCGTGGGGCTTGGCGTGTTTAACCTACTGATTCCCAGCTCCCCTTGATGAGTAAATCGTCTTGCATCAGAAAGAGTAAAATAATAAAGTAGGGTGCATCTGTGCGCAATGTTATTTATAGGGCATAATGCGAGGATGTCTTCAAGCAGTTCGTGTATGACATATCGTCAAAACTTTCGACACACTTAATAAAACCTAATTGCTAATTGTAAAAATTGTAAAAATCTAATTAAAAACTAAAAGACTCAAAGCATGGCATATTAAAAAATATATTTCGCTGATTCTCAACCTCTTCAGTTTGACGCCAGATCTAGATTGGAAAAAAGAGATTATTTTTACAATTAGCAATTAGGTTTTATTAAGTTTGTCGAAAAAGAAATTAGACAATATGTCATAAGAACTGCTTGAAATTATCGAACTCTTTTCCTTGCTTCGGCGAATAATTGTCGAGAATTGCCAGGATGAAGCCAGGTATTAGTGGTTCAGTGTCGTTGCTTGCACTACTCATCTCTACTTCGGTGAATAATTGTTAAATATCGAGAAAGTTGAAACCTTCGCCACCAAAACAGGTCAATAAGACTGAAACGAAAATGCGATTCCATGAAGGAACTCATCACAAATACCCTTACACCTGCTGTGCAACACACGTTCATTTTTGTTCATGTTTGGACAGGTTAATAATGCAAATGAAATACAAAACGGGTACAAACAACAAAATACTTCAAAAACAACTTCAATTCGTTGAAACGCTGACGCGTCGCATTAGGCAAAGATCTATCAACTACCATTTGCTTTTATTCAGGTAAGCAAAACGTTTCTGAAATATATATCCATTGTGTATGTATGAATAGTTAGCGTGTTGTGACCTTTAGCGCACCACAAAAAATCTCAAACGATTTAACAATCATGACCACAGAAAATCGATTAAACAAGCAACGATTTAACAATCTAGACCACAGAATGGCGAGTGGTTTCATACTCGTTTCAGCACAAACAAAAGTACTTGTTTCTGTGCTTAGAAATTCATAATTTATGCTTATTATGGGCTAAAACGTAAAATATCAATGTTTGGTATAGTGTTATATACATGGCAACATACGGCTGGTACATTAAACGCAGTTGAAAAAACGTCGGCTTTACAAAATTCTCTATCTGAAAAGTCACTTTTGTATATTGAAATTCGAGTATAAAGAAATCGATTATTGGGGCATTTTCAGATTAGGGGTATTTTATTTTTTTATAAGAGTGTTGCCTGGACAAATCCAACACATTCATTATGTCGTGACGTACGTCATACACAGATAATATGCGGTAGTTGTCTAACAACGCGAGTGAAAGGGGGACTCTAGTCCCAAAACAAGTTGGGCGTAATGTGGCTCAATACAGGGTTTTTTTAAATAAAAAATGCGCGATTTAGATTCGTATTTTTGGACAAATATTACTTGTCGAAAGACAAAAACCATAATTATTTATGTAAAACAACATGTAAAGAGTTTTTGCACAACATTTACGCAACTGCCGTTGCTATGGCCGTTGCTATGGCAACAATGACGTTTCAATATGGCGGATACTTTGACTTTAAAGTAATTTAACTCGAAAACGACATCGGTAACCCCCAATTTTTATTTCATAAAATGGTTTCTCTTATTATATTGAATTACGTTGACAATTGAAGCTAGGTATTAGTTCAGTGTCGGTGCTTGCACTACTCACCTGCACTTCGGTGAATAATTGTTAAATATCGGGAGGGTTGGAACCTTCGCCGTCAAAACAGGTCAATAAGAGTAAAACGAAATTGCGATTCCAGGAACTCATCACAAATACCCTTACACCTGCTGTGCAACACAGGTTCATGTTTGTTCATGTTTGGACAGGTTAATAATGCAAATGAAACACAAAACGGGTACAAATAACAAAATACTTGGAAAACAACTTCACTTCATTGAAACGCCTATACGCGTCGCATTCGGTAAAGATCTATCAACTACTATTTAACACTATTTTCTACGTTTCCAATCGTATCCTGCTTTTATTCAGGTAAGCAAAACGTTTCTGAAATATATATCTCAATGTGTATGTATGCATAGTTAGCTTGTAGTGACCTTTGGCACACCACAAAAAATCTCAAACGAGTTAACAATCATGACCACAGAAAATCAATTAAACAAGCAACGATTTAACAATCTAGACCACAGAATGGCGAGTATAGTGTCATACTCGTTTCAGTACAAACAAAATTACTTTCTTCTGTACTTAGGAATTCATATTTTATGCTTATTATGCGCTAAAACGTAAAATATCAACGTTTGGTATAGTGTTATACATGGCAACATACGGCTGGTATATTAAACGCAGTTGAAAAAACGTCGGCTTTATAAAATTCTCTATAAAAGTCACTTTAATATACTGAAATTTGAGTGTAAAGAAATCGATTATTTGGGCATTTTCATATTAGGAGCATTTTATTTTTTTCTTATAAGAGTGTTGCCTGGACAAATCCAACACATTCATTATGTCGTGACGTACGTCATACATACATAATATGCAGTAGTTGGCTAACAATGCGAGTGAAAGGGGAACGCCAGTGCCAAAACAAGTTGGGCTTAAGGTTTGTTTTTTGGGGGAGTTTTTTTTATTTAATATATTCGCCCAAATCAGTTTATAAAATTAACATTCAAACATGTAATAATTCATAAGCTTATTGGCAAATCATGTCAACCATAATATGTCACGTGCAGTGGCTTTAAACCTGATAAAACACTCCTAATTAGTATTCTTTATATAAAGAATACTAATAAGGCAGTATCTATTGTAGTCGTATCCTCATTAGTATTCTTTATATAAAGAATACTAACAAGGCAGTAAATCTATTGAATTTGTAGTCGTGTTTGAATTTGTACTCGCAGGTTGTGTTTTATTAGGTCTAAAGCCACTCGCGCTGCGCGCTCGTGGCTTTAAACCTAATAAAACACTCCTGCTCGTTTATTAAACAGTACATTTAAATAGAAAATATTTACAATAGTAGGGCTAGGAATCTTCCAGAAACCATAAGGCTTTTGTTTAAGGTCCCTAGTTACAATTCAAATAATATAATATTAAAAGTTAATATCAGTCCAATTGTTTTCAAAGGAATTACGGTGATATATTTACAATAAGAAAGTGCGTAAAAGATATATCAGACTATAACAACTATTTGGCTTTTCACTTTGTGCCAAGAATTCTACTTATTTAAATTTGACAGAAGAAAATATATTTTCATTGTAGATTTAAATATTGGAAGAGATCTAAGTTGCTTATATTGCGTCGGAAGATTATTCCACACATCGATGCCGTTATTACCGAGCGTGTGTTTTTTATAATTTGTTCTAGTACAACTTTTGTGGAGCAATGATGCGTTTCTTGTGTTATAATTATGGATTTTTTTGTTAGTTAAAAAATATTTATCAAAAATTTCTGGAAGATTTTGTAGATGAAAATATCGGAACATAAATAGACTTGTTAAGAAATCATTCAATTTATACAAGTTTAGTATTTTAAGGTCATTAAAAATTGGTTCAGTATGGTCAAAATAGGATTTGAAGGTCATTAATCTTACTATCTTTTTCTGGATATTTACTAATTTTTGAATGTGGGATTTGTAAGCGTTACCCCAAACTAAATTACAGTATATAAGATATGGATAGACCAATGCGTAATAGATCAGTTTTAAGGAATTTAGGTTTGTAAAATGTCGTATTCTGGATATAATAGCTGTACATTTGATAATTGTTTTTGAAATAAGATCTATATGATCGCACCATGATAAAAATTCATCTATAATAATCCCTAAAAACGTACCTTTTTTTTACTTGTTTTATAGTTTTGCTATTTATAGAAATTCTTAAATCACATTTAGGTTTCTTATTTTTTTATCTGAAAAGGATCAGCTTGGTTTTCGCAGTGTTTATAGATAATTTATTAACATTCAACCAATCTGTAATTTTGTATACAAATAATTTATTTGTAATTTTCAATACAGTTTTTTTTAAATAAAATATTTGCGATTTAAGTGCGTAATTTTGGACAAGTATAGGCCTATTTGTCGGAAAACAAAAAGCATATATAGTTATATATTTATGTAAAACAACATGTAAAAAGTTTTTGCATAAAAGTTACGCAACTGCCGTTGCTATGGTAACATTTTCAGATTAGGTGTATTTTTTACAAAAGTCTTGCCTGGACAAATCCAGCATATTCATTATGTCGTTACATACATCATACATACATAATATGCGGTAGTTGTCTAACAATGGGAGTTAAGTGAAACTGAAACGGGGGGTCTAACTCGCATTTCAAGTTGGCTAAGGTTGTCGATCGCGTTTGGGTGCATCTGAGCATGTGCAGATTGTACATGCCGAGTACATTCATCATTCAACACTCTAAAAACACTCTGGTTCAAATTTCCTGGTTAAACTGGAAATAAACCTGTTTGGGTTAACTTAATAGAGAGCGCTCAAGGGTAAAATGTGAACTGAGATTTGCTTATTTTTGGACGGGGAAAATGAGATTTGGGTTACTGGGACTAAAAGACACAAAAATGAGAAAACCCAAATACCATTATAAAGACAGTTGTAGTTGAACATTTCAGAGCTCAAGTCACTTCAAGGAAAGGTAGGAAGCAACGTTTACTTGAGAGTTAAGTCTAAAAGTATCCTAGAAAACTGCATTCTGCCCATTTGCCGCTAAGTATATATGGCTTGTATGTGACAGAAAATGACAGGTATTTTTAATATTTAAACCTTTTACTACGAAGCAATTCTTAATTGAGAGTTTGTCTAAAAATGTAGTCCTAGAAGACTGCGTGCATTCTGCCCATTTGTTCCTAAATATCTAGTTTGTTCCAGGAAATGACAGGTTTTTTTAATATTTAAACTTTTCACTGCGAAACAATTTTTATTGAGTGTTGGGTAAACTCAATTGTCCTAAAACACTCTCCTCCGCAGAGTCATATAGGATTGTAGGGATAATGTAGGGATAGTAGAGGACATTTAGTGGTGCGAGACGGGGGTGGGGGGTGGGGGTGAGACCGATCTAACAATTACGTAATTTGTTTCCCAAGTAATATTACGTAATTTTACTAAAAATTCGCAAGGCTCTGCGGAGGAGAGTGGTCCTAAAGACTGCATTCTGGCCATTTGCTGCTCAGCATGTCTAGTATGTGACAGGAAATGACAGGTTTTTTTAATATTCAAACCTTTCACTACAAAGCAATTTTTAATTCAGAGTTTGTCTAAAAAAGTCCTAGAATATGCATTCTGTCCATTTGCTGCTCAGTATGTCTAGTATGTGACAGAAAATGACAGGTATTTTTAATATTTAAACCTAGTTTTACTTCGTGAAGTTATTTCTAAAGAAAGCTATTGAAAGCAGAATATTGAGTTTTAAAAGTCAACACATAGGTGAAACACCAGCTCATGCAGGAATATTCCTTTAAGAACAGTTGAAACTGGGATTTAAAAAAGTGGGCTGGGAAATGAGATCTAGACTCCCCCCCCCCTTAAATTTTCTGGTTAAATTTCCACCTGGTTATTTTATCTCACTTCCTACTACAGTGTCAGCTGGTTAATGTAACAAGAATCTAGTTATACTTGACCACATACACATGCATATCCATATTCAGTTATTGTGCTCACGAACAGGGTTTTTCAACACTAATTTATAAAATGATAGACTATTGAAAAAATCTAGTCTTTATAATAAAATCCGATTAATACTATTAAACTATTTAAATGCTAAAGTTAAAAACTTTAGAATATTAAACTATTGATGTAAAATTTCAAACATGCGTTTTCAGAACTTCTGACGTAAAACATGCAATACTATTACAACTTATTAAAAGTTAAAAGTTAAAAGCTTAGAATGTTAAGCTATTGATATAAAATTTAGAGCATGCACTTTCTTAGTTTCTTCTTAAAGTTCGCTAATTCATTCCATAGATTCACCCCTCTGTAATGAAATGCTCTGTGACCGGAAGCGGTTTTATAAAGCGGTATTTGCAGTCGGTTGCAACTACGTGTTTTGCGTTCATGGATACTTGACCGTTTTCTGAACTTATTACACAAATAAGGTGGCGCCAGATCATTGTTAAAATAACCAACCTATATTAGGTGGATATATAGCCAGAGGCCCCTAGTTATTTATCCACCTAACAGTCTGGTTGCTTCAACCAGGACGTCCAGGAGTATAGTAGAAAAAGGTTAAAATATCCAGGAAATTCTTAACCAGAGTGCTTTTAGAGTGAAGATATTTGAAAAAGCTTTCTGATTTACTACTGCAAATTCAAGAAAAAAAGAGCTAAAGGCCTAAAAAATATTCTCAAGAATACTTACAAAACACTCTATTGGCCGTAAACTTGGAAACCGTAAAGGAAAGAAAAACGAAAAATGCGCGAAATTGTTTGACTCAGCCCACGAAGTAGAAGCGCTTTGAACGTATAAGGGACCGCTATTTCCAGAAGACCATCTGCCATACAGTCTAACGATAGATTTCCCCATCTGTTATAGGAACTCTTAGTTAAGTAAAGATGGCAGAAAGAGAGGCAGGTGAAACGGCAAGAACAGACTCGCTTGATGACGAGGCATTGTCTACCGGTAAAAATGAAACGAAGAAAAGTAAGTAGAAAAAGGTTTCAAATTGCTGTGCCAAACGAAGTTAGGTGTCACTTGATACTTGAGTTTGTTAATCTGTTAGCTCGTTCGGAATCATAAGCTTTGGTACTTATTCAAAAATAGATCATAAATACCCGGCCTAGATCTGGGCCTTTACTCGACTGGCTTTGGCAGGTTTAGTCAATTTTGGACTAGCATTGGGTAATGTGTGACGTCACAGGCGAAATACTAAGAAAATTGCATGGGTCCCAGTCTTCAGAGACGAAACAGCGATAAAATTAAAAAGGACCTTGGTGCTGAGCCCACAGTCCCTAATTTTATAGCCAGTGGTAGCTTCACAAGCAACATCAAGCTGAAAATGGTCGAACGATAACGTTGGTAGATAAATGAGGTTTTTGATATTTTATGGCTGTTGTCGTTATTATTTCGTAGTTCAACTTACGTTCATTTTTTGAAACTTAACCTTGTTTTGTGTGAGAGAATTTAAATGTGTTTATCGAAGGAGTTTGTTCATTTAAATAACAATGCAATGTTTATATAATAGAGCAATATTTATATAATAGAGCAATTTTTGAACTCGGTTCTTGTTAATGTTATATCTGAAATTATCAACGTCTTGGCAAACGTAATTATTTGTCTTGGCCGTCGGCTTCGACTGATAACATTTAAGTTGACGTGGAGAATATATAATTATTGGACAAGGTTGAGCAAAAGATTGTGGTTTGTGTGTGACGAAGCCAATACCTTGTCGCCAAGGTAAATCGTTGTCGGACAGTTCTCTAACACAAGCCATATTTACGTCTCAAAAAAATAAACTGTTAAAAGCATATTCTGCGTCAGTAAACTGCTTGCACCAGTACTTGCAGAAAAATTAGCCAATAAAACTTGAGAAAATGATTTACCACAGAAACCTATCCGACAATTATCTCTGTCAATCGTTTTACAAAGTTTTCTAAATAGATATTTCCAGAGAACATGGCAATTGGATGACTGTTGCTGAACAAAATTTGTTCCAACCGGAAACCAAATTTTGACATATTCAGTTTAAATTTGGGTGATAAAGTTATATTTCGTAAAACTTCGCTACGTCGCTTTTCTTAACCAACATTTTTATGCTTAAGGTTTGCACATAAATGTTTCCGAAAAACATGGCAATTGGCTGACTGTTGGGGAACTTATTCGTTCGATCCAAAAACCAATTTCTATCTACGTTGATCAAATCGTTAAAGCATTCCACGAAAAGATGTGCAAAGAGCTGCTCCCCGTTGGCAAGTGCAGTAGCCCTGACGACTGCAAAACTAACCCTAACGATTTATGTACGTCGTGTAAATCCTGGTTTAAGAAGCTCAAAAAGTCCCATGAAAACGGTAACAATACCTCATGGTATAAAAACTGCAAAAGCGCTGAATGGTCCGAAGATCACTGGGAAGTGGCGAAATTCTTTATGCCTGCACTTGGATCTAATCTTAGTTCTGCAAAAGATGCTGAATCTACCGACCTTTCTTCCCTTCTCAACGTACTCGAATGGATGAAGGACGTGGCGTTTCTTGGTAAAGTTCGAGTCAGTGTGGATCTTGTGAGAAAACTTCGTTCCCAAGTGAGAAATACCTGGGCACATGCACCACAACAAGAACTCAGTGACGACGAAAAGAGCGAAGGTTTCTCGATTTCCACCGACTTTCTTGAAGATCTGGAGAAGGTATTTTCCCATGCAAAAAACGCACAGTGTTTGGAGCATCTCGAACACTTGGAGACCAGCGGAGTCACCAATGTGGTTGAAAGTGAACTGCAAAGCTTGCTGTTACAACGTCACTTGTTGGATGACATTAAAGAAGAGATCACAACAATGAAAGTCGAGCGTTCATCCGACAAAAGCGTGATAGAAGAACATGAACAAAAACTGGTGAAATTAAAATGTGCATTGAGTGAATGCTCCCAAAGAATGACTGATTTCGAAACTTTCAAAGAGAACATTAATAAACAATTCGACAACTTCGCAGAAGAATGGAAATCCTTTCGTGCAATTCCGGAGGATATTCATCAAATACGTAACAGCATTGGGCAAATTCGTGATGATCTCGCCAAGATGAACGAACGACAGAAAGACGAACGAGAACCGACGAGTTGCTTGCCAGATAAATTGCCAATGTTTACCGCTCGCAAAGCCAAAATCCAAAAAGTTATCACTTTCCTAAAGGATGAAGCAAAAGCCGTTGTCTCTCTCCACGGCGGACCTGGGGTTGGTAAGACTGCAATCGCAATCGAAGTGTCGCACAAGCTCAGTGAAGACCACAACATTCCTGTTATTTTTTCTCAATTAACCACCGCAACCACTGTAGATGAAATGGTTCTACGACTTTGTCGCGATGTTGGTGTTTACCATGAAGATGACCCTAAGTCATCGTTGATTCTCTGGTTAAAAAATGTCAAGAGCAAAGTAATTTTTGTTATGGACGACATCGACGACTTGCTCGATAACAAGACAAGTTTCTACGATTTTATCCGCTTGCTGCGCAAGAATTCAAATCAACATTGTCATATTGTTACGACTTCCAGAACGTCCTATGAAATTCCCGAACTTTTAACTGATGAAGTTCAAGTTGGCGAGATGGATGAAGAAGCATGTATGGAGCTTTTGAAAAAACAATGTCCTGATCAGGAAGATGAATTTCTGCGAAGATTGGCCGAATTTTGTGGCAAAATACCTCTTGCTATGTGCATCGCAGGCTCTCAAGTTGACGACTTTGAAAATTCTGATGAATTATTACAGCACCTGCAAAACCAACCAATGAAGACTTTGGAATGTCCTAAGAGCGATCAGTACGTTGATCGAGCTATCAACATGTCTTATGAAAAGTGTTCTAGTGAAGAGAAAGAAACGTTGTGCCGTTTGGCAGTTTTCGAAGGAAACTTCAGCGAGGAGGCTGCCAGAGTCGTGATCGAGAAAGAAAATTTAGATACTAAAAGTGTCGTGAAGAAACTTGTTCGTCGAAGTTTGATCAAACAACCAACCAAGCACCGATACTCCATTCATCTCTTAATCAAACATTTCTTAGAGCATCAACAAGAAAGCGAAAACGAAACAGCAGAAAAAGCGCGTGCACAAATGATGCGCGCGAAAGTGCTTATGGTTAAATACTACTTGGAGTTGGGACACGACCTAACTATGAAAAGTTACTCCAAAGACGGATACAAAGCAAACAGAGAAGCTTTAAAGCAGGAAACGGACAACATCCAGAATGTGCTCAAAATTTGTTGTCAGCAGAAAGATCCGAAAACCTCCGACATCTCTGACTGCCTTGCACACAGTAAAGTTTACACCACCTCAGCCAGATTCTTTTCACTCTTCGTTAGAACCATCATCCCTGGGTCCATCGTCGACGAGTTCCTACAACGATGCGCAAACCTGGCCGAGGAGAGGAAGCAGCATGCAATCAAAATAAATTTTGATTGTTTGGTAGCAGACCAAAAACGCAACAAATCAATTGGTAAATCTGACGAATGTTTTCATTCAAAAATGGAAGAAATCAAGAGAGAGTTCGATACGCACTATGAAGATTTAAAGGAAGACAAGTCGCTTTGTGCTCATTACTATTACCAGTACGGGAGATATCTGTCACGTAAGTCTGAAAGTGAAAAGGATGAAAAACGGTTAGATCTGCAGGTTCAAGCACGTGATCAGCTGGAAAAATCGTTGAAATTAAGGAGAACGTTAACTGACACATCCGTGGGAATAGCAGATACGGTGTTCTCGTTATTGCACCTGGGAAATATATGCAAGATTATTAATGCAACTGAAATTCATCTTCATAAACCAATATGGTTGAGTCGCGCACAAGACTATTACGAAGAAGCTATACAATTGTCCAAAGAGCATTTTGGTGAGCACGAGCTTACATCAGCGTGTTACAAAAGTCTTGGGGATCTATTCTTAAGCCGAATTAAGGACCCTAAGATGGCCGAGAAAAGCTACACCATTGCTAAAGAAATGCGGGAAAACCTGGGCCTTGACGCCAGTGAAAGACACGTTCGTCTACTTAACAACCTGGGCAAAAGTTTGATGATGATTAACCGTCCAAATCAAGCTATTGAAGTTCTGCAAAACGCTCGGGACATGGCGGAGAAACTTGCTGACAGCGACGATCCAAATGAAACCAAGGCAAAGGTATATACATCATTGGTATTTGCACACGAAAAGGTACGAAACTATTCCGATGCCCTTAACTACGCCAGGAAAGCACTGGAATTCAGTCAAATAGAAAAGTGCATTAAAAAATATGAGTATCAGAAACTTCAGAAAATTTTACTGATGAGTAAACCTGATGAAAGAACTGATCGTTAAATGAACTTTCTTAAAAGATTTTGAATCCAACGGTTTCACTTTTTGGACATTTCATGAACGCCCAAGTAACCTTACAACTATAGACAAGATAAGATAGTTCATTAATCTGACACAATATTTTACTAAAATCAGACACACTGGACATGCATGTGTATAATACAGTAACAGTAGCAGCAAGTTTGTATAAACTATGTTTATTGGTACAACTGCCAGAGTGATATTGAAATGCGGAATTTATACATAAAGCATTTTAAAGGGAGAAAGTAGTACAGCATGGAATATCATGCAGTCGTATTCAGTGTAATATTTGCAACAGCTGCCCTAAGGGCTCTTGTTTTTAAGGATCTGTTTCCTCTGATCACTTGCCTGGATTAGCTTAATGATTGTAATAAGTATCTTTTGAGATTTTTTTTAGAATTAGAATTTAGAATTCAGAATTTTAATTAGGAATAATTAAGAATCATATTTCTACGCATTAATTACAGATTCTAAGGTAAAAATACTGTAATATATGTGAAATTAAATATGAAATTGTTTTACAATAGATTTCACAAAATCTTGACCACAAATTTTCTAATGTTCATTTGGAAAGTTTTAATTTTGCAACAAAACAGTGGCAGACACTAGTGATGGGAGGCAGGGGGGGGGGGCAACTGCCTTCCTCCCAATAATTTCCGAAAGCTGACAACAATTTTCAATCATGACTAAATCCCCCGCCCGCCAATATTTTGCAAAGTGTCTGCCACTGAACAAAGTTGGTAACTTGGTTGTCAAGTTTGTTGGCAACTACAAACATGATTATGAATTTTCCAATCATGTTTATGAAGCAAAGTAAACCATCTGATATTGGCTATTAAAATTAAGTTATTACTACAAGTATAGCTATCTAGAAGCCATGCATCATGAACTCAATTAAATCTCAAAAAGGACTGACTTAGTAGGGGTGTGGAAATGGGGGTAAATGGCATGTTTAACACATACAATGATTGCTGGTTCCACTTGACAAGTAAATTCATTTGGCATAAGACAGAGTAAAATAATATGTGCATCAGGCAGGCCTTAAAATATCTTTTACAGGGCCGTCTGACAAAATGTCCGGTGACGTTGAGTTTGGGTCGGACATATATGTCCGATGACCTTCAGTTCAGTTTTGATTCGAAAATAAGTCTGAATGCCGACACAAATGAATAAACGGTAAATGTTGTAAAGATATTAAATACTTTGTTTCTTTTGTACTTATTTCCAAGCCAAAATTAACTTGCTTGACAGAACAGCAGTGTTAAAAAAGACTTCGACAACTTAAGCCCGTTTTCCACTTCACCATTTCGTTCGCCACCCTGCGCTCGACTACATTAAAACAACATTTCCAGTTCACCTTTTACACAATAGTACTCTGATTTTCCATATTTAACATACAAGCCTCGATCTAGTCCTCATGGGCACATTTTGATTTACGTCGGACAAAGCTACAGTTCGGTCGGACACCAATACACTCGGGTCGGACAAACAATAAATCTCAGTTTCATGTCCGGTGGTTTTCTCTCTACGTCGGACAATTTCACGAATGGGTCGGACAATGTCCGTGACCGACCGATAGTTTAAGGCCCGGCGTCAAGTCACAACGCCATTCAAAGGGCTAAAATATAGACATGCAAATTAGTGCCAGGATGAAGCCAGTCAATTAAGTTTTTCACTTCAAATTTTTTGCACAAAAGGAATTTTATGCATGTTCAGTGTCAGGCAAATTTTCAGCCTAGACAGAATACATTTATATACCAGAATAGTAGGACTGCAGGTTTGATTCCTGCAAGAGGGCCAAATGAATATAGTTGTATATTTTGCAACTGCTCCTGGTTAGGTACACAATGTTTGTGCAGGTTTCCACTCAAAAATTTTCATCTACAAAAAATCTTCAATATGAGTGAAACACCCAAAACCCAGATATTTACTTAACCCATTGAGTACCATGCATTGCTCTCCCCTTGACAAGTAAAATTGTCTGCCATTGGCCAGATTGAAATAGTAAAGTCGGGTGCAATTAGGGCACAACGCAACTTTCTTCTCCAGCAAGAATGCTGGATTCTGTGGAATAACAGTGAGATAATATAAACACTCAATATAGAGTTTATATTAATTAGAAGTAGGATCTCGGCAAATGTCCTGCCCAGCTCTTAACCAAGGTCATATACTGTATAATAAACAGGGCCCCTATAGAAACAAATATTGTCTTTGATTATCAAATCCCAGTGATACATAATCTTTGCAATTTGATCAACATGTAATTTCAGGTAATTCAGGACAATATGACTGTGCATATGAACTTGCTTTATACACTTCTCAGTGTATTCACAACCTCCAAACCGTGAAACTGCTTGAACGATGTAGTAATTCACAAATATAAACTACACAGTTCTGCTGTTTAAGTTCGCTGCAGACAGACTTATTAATAGAAATACAAGCGTGATATAATATTGCTGATTAATCATACCTGGTGCGCTCATTTTCCGATCAATTTCAAGAAACCTGATATTCTTTGACTCTTCTTGGAATTCTTGATCTTCTGTGATTAATTTATATTGCCTTGAAGAACTCCCTGTAATAGAGCTTGATACACAAACACCCGTCCCTAGTTCCAGCAAGAAATTAATCGCTTCACAAAAGACAACTCAAACTGTACGTAAACAAAGCTGACTTTAGCAAGCGTATTTACATATATTATAAACGCAAGACAAGTGTGACAATGAACACAAAGCATTTGATAAATATCTTTTGGGTTTTGTGATCCACTGTCGGCCATACACGTGTCTTTTCTAAACTATATATATAGACATAATTAGCTACTTCCTCGAATTAATTTTAACAAATTAGTGTAATTACCCTAGTTAAATTACCCCATACTTTAAATTTCCAGGTTTTCAGCTGCAAAGAGTCAATCCTGACTAATTTATTAGCATCAAACTTTAAACTTTCACGTTTATATATTTGAAATTTTGATCAAAATACATCTGTCGTTCACATGTTTGATGAATAATGACAATGTTTACATCAATTTACATGACGTACTAACCGTTTGGAAACTGAGGATGATTTCAGCGAAAGTGGTATATTAAACAACGAAGCCTAAAGCGCGAGGTCTTCAAATTAGATATCATTCTACAAAACGTTGTAACTTGCTACAGATATTTGTCCGTATTTTTTTACTGATAACTGAAAAAAAGATTTCAACTGAAAGCTAACAAACGATAGGATGAAACAACAATTTGAAACTGATATCACTGATATCTTACTAAAATAATACCTTTTGTAGTTTTGAAGTTTAGCTCAGCATGGACACAGAAGTTTGAGGCACATATATACATAACTGTCATACTGCTTTTTTTTAATCGAAAGCCTATTTACACAACTACCTGACCGTACAGACTATTTGTTTTCGATGCATTTCGTTTCGTCCGTCGATGAGATTAAGGTTAGAAAACGACGGATGTTAAATCTTTGATGCTCGTTATTTTCGTTGGTCTGAAAAAGCTTATGAACATTTCGACGTCTGCATGGAGCGATGACCGTTCGTCAAGAGAGCTGGCATGTGCTTTCACAATTTTAATAGACCTTACCGTTTATTCACTTTTGGCGAAATGGCCTCGTTTTCGTGTTTGCCAGTTTTGGCACGACTGGCGCACATGAAGGTTTATATTTCCATGTTTCCTCACGATTTGGTTCCTGGTTGATCTTAAGCCCGATAACAAGTACTTTCTTAACCCTATTGTGCACGAAACACAAGTAAAAACCTGACACGAAAACGAGGCCGTTGGGTCAAACGTCAATATGTAGAGGATATTACACGGCGGCGCGAAGACATGACTTTTATCTTCGAGTGGTGAAAACAATATTTTACGAACGAGCGCAGCGAGTGAGTAAAATATTCTTTTTAACACGAGAAGATAAAAGTCATATCTTCAAGCCACCGTGAAATGTTCTGTTTATTATATAGTCCCAAGCAAAAAATTGTGAAATTTCACGCTCCAAAGAAAATTGGAAAAAGTCACGTGATCGATATCTTCACTAGTGAAGATATGGAAATATCTCACTGTGTATTTTTCAGTATCTCACTCTCTACTATATAATAAAAAAACGGTAAGTTCTATTCGCTTGCTGCTATAAGTGTCAACATTTCTGAACGTCTTTGATGACCATCTGTTGTCCAATGAAATCCACATATAGCGTGGTGACGAGGTATATTGTCTACCAGAGTACCTGTAGTCCATTGCACCTCAAGAAGAACTGACGCTTTCTTTGTTCAGCCTTTATGAGATTTCTTGTAGCCTTGTTGAATATTCAAACCTTGTTAAGCGATGATGTTCCTAATAAAACGAGAAGTATCCGCTATAGCACTTAGTCACTTTATGTTTTATTCAATCATCTTCTTTCTTGTGGAATACCTATCATCATTAGGATACTAATGTATATATTAAATATTGGTAGGTGTAAGCACGGTTAATAGAATTAGGTGTAAGCAGGTAGGTATAGGTAAGGTAGGTATAGGTAAGGTAGGTATAGGTAGGTATAGGTAGGTATAGGTAGGTATAGGTGTAAGTAGGTATAGGTATAGGTAAGTATAGGTGCCGGGTAGGTTCAGGTATAGGTAGGTATAGGTAGGTATAGACGCCGAGTAGTTATAGGTATAGGTAGTAAAGGTGGGTAGTTATATATATAGGTAGGAAAATATTTAGGCATGCAAATAGATATAGGTTGATACGGTAGATAAGGTGTCACCAAACATTATTCATGAATGCATTTAAGATAGTAATACTGGAAAGGGACTGCTGTCTTCGATTTCCGAATCATATTTTAGGTTTATTTTGAATCAGTTTAGGTTTTCGTTCCATGTTCCAATATATCAGCATGAGCGACAGTGTTGCATATAAAATACTTTTCAAACATATGCCGAAGACGACGGTGGTTTTATGGTACGTAAAGCCGATAACAAATTCAATAAATTCAAATTCAATATAGCTTGTGATTCGTCTTCATGAAAAACGCCGATCGATTCGTATTCAATAAGTTAAATCCCATCTTAAATCCCGTCACTAGTTAAAATCTCCTCAACATTTTGTTCACCATTCTCCCTGCCAGGGAATCAATTACGTACGTACGTCTGCAAACGGGAAAATGGAGTTTCATTTAAGAATATTGGAGAATATTGGAACGTTTCCATCAAGAAATCACAAGTCAGTGTATACAGCATTCGCCTCCGTGTTGTATAAGATATACAAACACTCGTTATGCTGAGTCACATTGCAGGGCCGGAAACTAAGGGCGAAAATCCATTTCAAAAAGTGGGAGGCGAGGAGGGGGGGGG